TTATGGCGACAGCGCTTAACGACATTTTGTTTCGTCTAAGTCGATCTTCAAGTAGTATGATTGAGAGACGTTCCATTTTGCGTCTTACTGATGTTTCAAGTAAGTGTCGCACCGCAAGGTGTCTTTCTTCTCTCCTTTCGTGTTACTGACTATCAATGTTTGTTCAGGTCTTGCTGAACTAGCACACAGAGAATACCAAGCTGGAGATTATGAACGGGCTGAACAACATTGTATGCAATTATGGCACCAGGACCCGGAAAATACATCTACTTTGCTACTACTCAGTTCTATACACTTCCAGTGTCGCCGGATGGAAAGATCAGCCTACTTCAGTCAGTTGGCTATCAAACAAAACCCACTAATGGCAGAGGCGTATTCCAATCTCGGCAATGTTTTCAAAGAGCGAGGGCAGTTGAAAGAAGCAATTGACAACTACAGACACGCATTAAGAATAAAACCGGATTTTATTGATGGATACATTAATTTGGCTGCTGCTTTAGTAGCTGCTGGCGACATGGAGTCTGCAGTAAACGCTTATGCAACAGCACTGCAGTACAACCCAGTATGATTTCTTTGTGTCTTATCAAGTTTTTTAGGATTTATATTGTGTACGAAGTGATCTGGGAAACTTACTAAAGGCACTTGGACGATTGGATGAGGCGAAAGTAAGGCGGCATATAGGTCGCCGCGGCGCGCTGCGATTGTTTGCTTGGATATTATTTTGCTATGTTTTTTTTTAAAATAGCGGTCTACATGGCCGCCGCGCTGCTTAGTAAATCAAGCAAACTTTCCAGCCATCCTACGGTTTTTCTAATGAACGAGATTTTTTCTTTCAAACAGCTATGTGCAGTCTCCGATCGGTTGCTGTTCAGTCAATTCTTCAGTCTGGACTGGTTCTGCGAACAAATGCATTCGTGAGTTCCCCCTTCTCCTACCCTTCGCGCGTTCCCTTAAGTGCAAGTTTTGCACTGCGCTTTAAGTTATTTCATCAAGTTCGGCTCAAGGGTGGTGAGTCGCTGTTTGTTGTAGGTAGTGATTGCGCTCGCATGCTTAGCTGTGGACCTGTTGGTTGACAGCCGCTCAGCGCCCGCGTCTTCTACTTGCTATCTATTTTCATTTTTCTTTTAGTCATGCTATCTGAAAGCGATTGAAACCTGCCCAACGTTCGCAGTGGCTTGGAGCAACCTGGGGTGTGTATTCAATGCTCAAAATGAGATATGGTTGGCAATCCATCACTTCGAAAAGGTGGGTTTTGATTACATATTTATCTATTTTTAGGCTGTTACTTTGGATCCTACTTTCTTGGATGCTTACGTCAACCTTGGAAACGTGTTGAAGGAGGCTCGTATATTTGACCGTGCTGTAGCAGCCTACCTTAGAGCTTTGACATTATCTCCAAATAACGCTGTTGTACACGGCAATTTAGCCTGTGTTTACTACGAACAAAATCTTATCGATCTTGCCATCGATACATACAAGAGAGCAATTGAGTTGCAGCCCAATTTTCCCGATGCTTATTGTAACTTGGCCAATGCACTCAAAGAAAAGGGAAAGGTATCAGAGGCTGAGGAATATTACAACACAGCCCTGAGATTGTGCCCTACACATGCAGATTCTTTAAACAACTTAGCGAACATCAAACGTGAGCAAGGGAAAGCGGAAGAGGCGATACGACTATATGTTCGAGCTCTTGAGATATATCCTGAATTTGCAGTAGCTCATTCTAATCTCGCAAGCATGCTTCAATTACAAGGAAAATTGCAAGAAGCTTTGTTGCACTATCGGGAAGCGATTCGCATATCACCGACATTTGCTGATGCTTACTCTAATATGGGGAATACCTTGAAAGAATTGCAAGATGTCCAAGGTGCGATGCAGTGTTATCAAAGAGCTATACAGATTAATCCTGCTTTCGCTGATGCTCATTCAAACCTAGCTAGCATTCTGAAGGACAGTGGTAACCTCGCCGATGCAATTACATCCTACAAGACCGCCTTAAAATTAAAACCTAACTTCCCAGATGCGTTTTGCAACCTTGCTCATTGTCTGCAAATTGTATGTGACTGGTCTGACTACAAGCACAGAATGAAGAAACTTGTTTCCATGGTACAAGATCAGCTAGAATCAAATCGCCTGCCATCTGTACACCCTCATCATTCCATGTTATACCCACTGACGCATGACCAGCGCAAAAAGATTGCCGGAAAACATGCTTCGTTGTGTTTAGAAAAGGTGTCTTTGTTGCATCATCAACCGTTTAGATTTAGCAAAAAATTACCTGCTGGACAACGTTTGAGAATTGGCTACGTTAGCTCTGATTTTTGCAATCATCCAACTAGTCACTTAATGCAAAGTATTCCGGGTCTGCATGATCGAACTAAAGTCGAAGTTTTCTGTTACTCACTCGCACCTGACGATGGCACCAATTTCAGGGCAAAGGTCGCAAATGAAGCTGAACACTTTGTTGATCTAAGCGGAATTCAGTGTCACGGAAAAGCTGCAGATAAAATTGCAAGCGATGGAATTCATATTCTTCTAAACATGAATGGCTACACGAAAGGTGCACGTAATGAAATATTTGCACTGAAGCCTGCACCGATTCAAGCTATGTGGCTAGGTTATCCTGGCACAAGCGGTTCGACATTTATGGATTATATCATCACGGATATGGTAACATCTCCCATGCACCTAAGTCATCAATACTCTGAGAAGTTGGCATACATGCCCAAGACATTCTTTATTGGGGATCATCAACAGATGTTCCCTCATTTACGCAACCGAGTTATCCTAGAGAGCGCTGAAGATGCCACCGCAGGACGCCGTGTAACAGATAATTCCATCGTTGTCAGTGGCTTGGATATCAAACCTCTGTTACAAGTTGCTTGTGTGCGTGAAGTTACTTATGGAGGTCGCTTGGTTGAGATTCATGGCGGCCAACGTAAAGAGGTTTCTTACTTCACAAAGCTCACCGTGTTGACGATTCCGTCCTTACAGCCTATACAAAACATGATTCGTACAAACAGTCCGTCTTGTACCATTAATGGTGTAACTATTCATAATGGTTTGGTGACACAGCAAACACAATCCAAAGCTTCTGCTGGTGAGGAGGTGCCTCGTGATCTCATTCTTACTTCCAGACAACACTATGGCTTGCCTGAAGATGCCGTCGTTTTTTGTAACTTTAATCAGCTATATAAGGTTGATCCATCAACTATGAGAATGTGGGTTGAAATCCTGAAAGGTGTCCCGAACAGTGTGTTGTGGCTGCTACGTTTTCCAGCTGCTGGCGAAGCCGGTGCACTTGCAGCGGCCTCAGAAATGGGTCTTCAGCAGGTGAACCGTCGAATCTTGTTTAGCAACGTTGCGCCAAAAGAGGAACATGTTCGACGTGGTCAGGTAAGCTTCTTGAACTTTATAATTTATAAATACAGGTTGCTGATGTCTGTCTAGACACGCCTTTGTGTAATGGACATACTACTGGCATGGACGTTCTGTGGGCTGGTTGTCCTGTAGTTACCCTTCCACTCGAAACATTGGCAAGTCGGGTTGCGGCCAGCCAGCTTCACACGTTGGGATGTCCTGAGCTTGTGGCTAACAGTCAGGAGGACTACGTTCGAATCGCAACCAAGTTGGGGAACAACCGTGAATATCTTCAAGCAATGCGGGCTAAGGTAAGACTGGTATTTTTACTTCCGATATTCATTTTACAGGTTTGGAAGGCAAGAGAGTCGTCTGCTCTTTTCAGCTGTCGCAGCTACACTGCTGACATAGAAGCCCTTTATTTCCGAATGTGGCAGCAGTATGAAGCCGGCTCTATTGAACACATCGTAGAATGGCCGTCGAAGTTCAATAAGGAGAGTACTTAGTCTTGTCACCGTAATCTTCTTGCTTGTAAATATATCATTTATTATTAACTTGGTTTTCTGTACTCTAAAGTCGTTACAATGGTAGTATGTTGTATCACGTTAAAATTGCTGTTTATATGGAATGGTGTACTCAGTCGATGTAGGTTTCTCGATGATTAATTACTACGTATTACCTACGAGTCATTCGAAACTAGGGAGTTTGGATTGGGTTGTATCGTTTCGTAAACCTCTGTCGCGTTCCTTTCTAAAGTAGTCTTTTCGGTTGCTTCGTTCTATAACTTGACCAGTATCGTTATATCCGTAAGTGCTTCATTAAGTTTGTCGTTATCTAACAAATGGTGGGTCAGTAGGCATATTCATTTGTTGCTTGTTTTCCCATATTGAATCACTACTGTTTATATTAAATGTAACGGCAGGTTGTTTGTTTGCGTGACTAAGCGTCACCTCAGCATGTGTTTAGAGAGTTATACAAATCACTAAATTATAATCCAAAATAAACTCAGTTTCTTAGGATCTGTTCAAGGCTTTCTAAACAAGCTCACCCTACCAACAGTCAGATAAGGAATTGCACTGTTTGTGTTATATATAGTCAGACCGTTTAATCAGTTGAAATTCTACAAGTCTTCGTTCTTGCTGTTTTTCTGTATGATATTATTGTACAGGTAGACACCGGCTTGAGGTTACATATGCAACGAAATTACAATCAACCTCTACAACAAATGAGGGGACTAAATGTTCAGGTCTGTCCCATACATATTATACTTACTTGTGCTTAAATTTGTTCACAAGATTCATCATGCGAAGTAAACCATCGAGTGAGTGATGTAGTCGTTAATAGTTGCAAATTATGAATTCATAAAACAGAAAATGAACCGCACTCGGTCAGAAAAAAAGGTAGTATTTTAGCCTTAAGAAAACTCCCTAACTCAACTAAAATTGACAAGAATTCCAAGGTAAGCAACATAACTATTAGATAGCCCATAATTCTTGACATCTTGCGTTAATTGAGTTAGCTATAAAAACCAAGTCACATGTGCATAAAATGAAACAAATCATCCAATAAAATGTCAAGTAAGAAATATATATATGTATATACAAGGTTATAGGGGTATTTAACTTTTGACAGGAAAATTCCTAATCATTAGATGGTTGACAGTTTCTTCGATGCCTCAACATAGAAGTTTGCAAAGTACCTTGAATTGTAATAAATTTACCACAGGTTTCACAAGCAGTCTTACATTCATCTAAAAAGTTATCATTTTCAAAATAATCTTTCTCATTTTTATTTGATTCGTATAACGATGTATTTTCATTAAAACATTTGTAATTATTATCACTGGAAGCTTCATTAAGCGATCCACAAGCGACTTGTTTTCGTAATCGTACAGCAAGATTATAACTGCTACTTGGATCATGATAGTCTGGCTCATCTATATCTTCTACACTTGATCGACCCTCAACTGATATCATTTCAGGGTGTAATCTGTGGAAGAAAAACGTAGAACTAGTATAACATAAATATGTATATTTCACTTATATTAATAACAGCAATAAAATAAATACCAGAAGGGTTTTTTTGTGAATAATATAGTAATTTCAATAGTTGAGATCATGAGTTAGTTGAAGCTAGATCACCATGGAAAACCTGGAAGCACTGGAGTTCAACCAGTTCTGTTGTGATATAGTAACTCACTGAAGACAATTGTGGATGTCGCTCAATTTCGTGGATTAGTTGAAGTTAGACATTAACACTGCTGGATGCCGGCTCAGTGGTCTAGAGGTTAGGTGTTCGAGCGCGAGACCGATAGGTCTTGGGTTCGAATCTTACAGGGGCGAGCTCATGGATGCGCACTGTTGAGGAGTTCCATACTAGGATGAAACAGTCGTTTAGTGCTTTCAGGTTTTCCATGGTGGTCTAGCTTCAATTGACTCGATCTCAACTATCGAAATAATAAAATTGTTTGAAAGGTGTTTTACATGGACTGATTATCCTGAGGAAAATCTCTTAGCATGGAGTGACATAAACTGAACTAAAATATCAAGAGCATCAGACAGTTATTTCTTCCGTATTGCCTGGTCGTAAAAAGTAAGGTATATAATGCGCAGGCAAGAGCGGTTCTTTGCATGCGTGTAAAAACTAACCTAACAATGTCCGGTGACTTGCTGTGTTTAACTAATGTTAACTTTGGGGGATCAATCACATCCATCAGTAAAATCAAGCGCCTGCACTGCATGTTCAGTCATATTTAGGAAAACTCTATTACTGTTACTATTCTTGTAACATATGTTTTAGTGAATTAGATAGGTTGAGATGGAAAACAAGACTCCTAATTTAGGGAAGTGATTTTAATGGAGCTAGATACTTCATCTTCGTCCTCACGACAACCAACTAGCTATCAAACTCCAATACATATCTTCGCTTATAGCAGTGCACATAGGCGATTGTGGCTATACGTTCGACTAGTAAAACGTGATATCTTGGACAGCCAGAATACACAGAAGACAAAAGAATTCTTAGAAAATTAACAGGCAGATCGAATCAATGAGCATGCGGAAATTGATCCAAGTTATCAGCCCGGTTGGAAAAATCATGAACAACCATCAGATCAAGTCGAAGAAGATAACCAAAATGAATAGGCAGAAAATGACAAGACAAGAGGGTCAAAAACAAGTCGAAACCAAGGTCAACAGAGCAAGTTATTAATCATATGTGGAGAAATTTGGATGGCTCATTTTGATCTGGAGTTTGCCTTTGGATAGGTTGTTTAGAGAGACGACGAGAGCTTCACAACTAAGCCAGTCAGCTCAGAGAACGAAACTCTGGTAAAACAAAGCAAGTTGCAAGAATATCTTCTAAATGGCTTTTGTATAACGAATTGTTTGAACTGAGACTAAATGGGAAGCGTGGAGGTGACTAATTTATGGTATTGTATAGTGGGATGCAAGACCTTCATAAAACTGGGAGTTATTGGTTCGTGACAACTGTTCGGGCAGAGTCCTAAATATTATGCGACTCAGTGTCGTCAGATGTTATTGCACACAGTTCACAATAAGAACTAGGAGCAAGTTGAAACCTGAGAAATAGTTGTTAAAAACCAAGTATTCCAACTAGTAAGTGATTGTTCCATGTTTTGTCACTCTAATTAGCAACCATACAATAAATTCCCTGATCAATTAACATCATTTATTAACAGCCAATGAGTATTTATTATTAGTAGGAAAAACAGAAAACAAATATGAAAATCCCTACTTACGAATCAATATTCAGGTAATCTGTAACTTGATAACCTCCTTTGAATAAATTAAATGTTATGCCCGATTCATGATCTGGTTCTTGTAATGGAATGTCATCTACATTTATTTTCTTACAAATTTGAGGCATTGATTTAGATTGAGCTACAAAATATATAAATGTGAAAAGTGATAAATTAAAGAACAATGTGAATTGGCCTGAAGATCATGTAACAAGTAAAAACTATACAAAGCGATCTTACATAGTTAGGGAATATTTTAGAGAGCCTCTTCTTGGAATAAATACAAGGTAGGCGAATCCGAGCGTTTTTACATTGTGTAATTTAATTTTACATTTAAACAGTTAGTTGTATAGTCATACTGCTGTTTATTGTACTGAAATACTGAAAAAAATTCAAAAAGCTGTATTCGTTATGTAGCTTAAAAAATAATTCATGAAATCATACGACCAAATATTCTTTCCAAAATATCTATTACACGTGACGAGACCATTAAATAAACAATAATGGTTAAATTTCGAAAATAGAAAAATCTTCAGTTAATTCATAGGTTCATACCGATATTGGTCGTTGTGAATGTATATTGCATTTATTGAAATATATATATATATATATATATATATATATATATATATATATATATATATATTCTAGAGGTTAAACGTCCGTGCGTCTATTATTGAGTGACAGGTTGAAACAAAAAGCTGTCATTAACCAAAGCGCAATAGGGAGGTTGACTGGTTTTTTGAGAGTTGTCAGCATGTGAGAGTAGATCAGTGAATCTCAGTACGTCAGAGAAATTTCAACTTGTAAACAATTTTATTCACAGAATATTACCGCCTGAAGAACCACAGGGAACCGGAGAAAAATCGTTAATAAGCTCTATTATTTTATTTTATGATCTCGTTAAAACGCCATGCCCAATCTTCACACTGAGGAGGAGGACTCTTCACATAAACTAACTGATATGCACTTTTCAACTCCAGCAAATTTTTGATATAGTGCGACTGCTAGTCAATGTCATCAGTTAATTCAAACACTGAACGACCTAGTTGACTGCAACGTTATCTTCTCATGCCATTTAATATACAAAAAGAATAGCGCTTTCATTAAAACTGTTGTTATGAAACGAGTATCTAAGAGATCGTAACTTTTGGAATCCTATTTTACAGATTATCATTTTTTATGTCTTTATTGTGTAATTATTAGGTATATGGATCACCGTATTTCTATATTCTTTGTGCTGTAAGCATTCATTAGTCTCCTTAGCTATAGCTACACTCTACTGTACCTTGACTACTACTAATTAATCGTTCGCCCTCATTTTCAATTCTTTGCTACTTATGGATTTATTATGTATAAATCATGATTTTCTATTTAGGAAGTTGTCCGATAATTCGTCCGAATAAATACATGAATGTTTAATCTAAAAGCAACTACTGTACAATATGGAACCCCCAAATGTTCTGGAACGGTCGAAGTTGGGAAGAGTCAGCTCTCCTTCTCGAAATACTCTCACATGGCCACGCGTATACACCCACTGTCAAGGAAGTCCTACTCACTGCCTTCTCACAGCGGAGATGTTGTTTACGAAACTGAGAGAACAAAAAGCGAATGTCAGGCGTTTTAATCGGGTCGGTGGACACGGAGAGTCGGAAAACCCTGATTTCAAACCAACAGTGCACATGGGCTACAGTATCCTGAACGAACAAATGGTGCATGAACCTATTGTTGGTCACTGGTTGCCATGGGACTGCATCTGCTCACGTTGACCCACTGCCTTTTGGATCAGACCTTTAGGTCAAAGGCTCAGGATGCGACACCTTAAGAAAAGATATGTGTTTGTTGATTTCGTCTTCTGACTAGACACTGGATTGGAAATTGCTCGAAAACCAATAGGTGTTAAGCTATCAGTTGTTGTTTACTGGTCATGGGTCACTGATAAAACAATTCATCGATCCCACAGGCATACATTGAGTTTAATTTAATCAATTATTAGACTAGAAAACACAACTGTTCTCATGATGACGGCCTCATCACACAGGCCTCACCAATACTATTAAATAATCTGTTTTTTTGGGAGATATAACAAAAACCTACATTGGTTTTCACAGATATTATTATCATTGTTATTCTGTTTGCGAAACAATTGTTTTACATCAGCTGCTAATAATCGTTTAATAGAATATGCTCCACCAGGTTGACCAGCTAAAAATGCTGCTAAACTATGAGACAATATGCGCTGTAGCCGACGGATTTTTCGTTTATTTTCATCTTTTTTAGAAGAACAATATTTTGTTGATATATTATTTGCTGTATTGCCATTATCACAACCGTTACCACTATCACCAGTGAGTGTTTGGTCACGACGACGTAAACATTCTAAAATATGTGAACATTAACAATAAATGGGTAAAAGACAGTTAAAATCTGATAAAACTAACATTCCTACTACATGATACTAAACCATGTACTGATAAACTTTGTATTTTTTCCATTAAGAAGTAATGTTAGTGATAAAGTGGTGAACTATTCAGTTAGTCGAGACCAGCATTTTAACAAAAAAACATTGATATACTGGGACAAAATCAGACAGACCATAGACTATCTCAGTATAGGATGATAAGTATACTGCAATAAATGAATAAACTATTCATCTAGCCAAGGTCTCCTTCCACATGTTCTTTTAATTTAGAAACCCACAAATAAATATGCATGAGCTGTAAACAGCTATTTTCATTATTGTCACTACGACTTGTCACATATTTTTGATCTTCCCATTTTGCACATGTGATCGGTCAAACATTAGGTTCATTACAATGACTAAATCAGACTGCAAACACATTGTTGAAAATCGACTCCCAATCCTAAACAAATGATACCGGAGTTCGGCATTCCTAACATAATCTTCTTATAGAATACGAGAAGGGCTATGAAGACAGTAATGATTATCTATACATAGTTATCAAAACTTTTTACTTGGAACGCTTATATTTTCGAAAAATAAAGCAAAGATACAATCATCAAGCACCTGTACAACTGATATATTTTATGACGATACCAAAAGCAATTTTGATCACAGTAATATACCATAACGTTTTCTATAAATAAGCTGACCCCGTTTATTATATATATATACCACACTGTTGTGTTGTCTAGTTTCTAAACAACATGTTGAATGGAGTCTAGTTTTCTTGAGAACCAATGTAAAATTACCCTCTTACCGGGCAATTTAGTAGTTAAGATTTTGAACTTTCAGTTGCCATATAGCTGGCTTCTCTCTACCTACCTCATTTTAGACAGCAAACTGTCATTACGTTATTAGCTTTCACACTTGCAGTGTGTATCCAATATATATATATATATATATATATATATATATATATATATATATATAGAGAGAGAGAGAGAGAGAGGTAGAGAGAAGCCAGCTAGCTATATGGCAACTGAAAGTTCAAAATCTTAACTACTAAATTGCCCGGTAAGAGGGTAATTTTACATTGGTTCTCAAGAAAACTAGACTCCATCCAACATGTTGTTTAGAAACTAGACAACACAACAGTGTGGTATATGCTATTAATGCTGACGGATATAAGTAGCATACACCATAAAGCATGTGGCGAAACCACATAGGTGCCAAGAACCCTGGTGGACAAGTTAATAATATGAAAGTAAGATGCCTATTAAGATACGCTAATAGTCACATTTCTGACTAAAAGAATGCAGATATTTTGTATTAAGCATTCTTATAAGTTTGATCATTTAAACTATGAATAATCATCATCAATATTATCACAGCTTGACCCTATATAATCAACTTATCTATAAAAAAATAATCATTCCTCACAATCAACCGGAAATTAAACATTCTAAATCAAATAATGAAGTATTATGTTAATAATGTAAAATGCAAAATTTAAGGTCGAATATAAATAGAATATAAACAATAAGACTTATTATTCACCCACAACTTGAATACAACTTCTTAAGGTCACAAAAGACATAACTAATAAAGCATCTTACGTATGCCTTACCTCTTTGTAACACACTGGTATTAATGTAGTTAATTGATTCAGTAATATGGAAACATCCCTAAAGTCAGATAGATAAAGCTGACAAAAAATACCAGGTAGTCATGAACCATAAATTAATTTTCACACCATCCAACCTTATATAGAAAAAACCAATTTGATAACTCCTCGATAGTTCATTTTCTGATTACTAAATTCTAGTTTGTCTAAAATAAATTGAATATAGTATCATTAGCCAGTAAATATTAGTTGAAGCCTCTAGTTTTATATATACAACTAGGTGTTGATGAAATTCACCATGCTTGTACGTGACAGACTACATTTTACCATTATGATTGCTAATTTTACAACTAACCGAAATTCAAAGTAATTCATGTTGATTTATTACGAAATCTCTAAAGTGAATTGATTGTTATAAATACCTGCAAGTTCATATTCCATAAGACATTGCGTTGTTGAACGTAACCAAATAGTAGTAGCTACAGCACGTTGTGCAGCTTCAACATCCAATAATCGTACTTCTAACCATGAATCGAAAACAATCCTGTCATTGTTAAATTAGAAATTTGTTATGAAATAAGTTATTAGTTTTATTTAATTGACTAAAATAAGAGATAAAATCAAATCTCTTTTGAGTACAGGAACACTTGATAGTTTGAACGAGCATCTTCACCCACTGATTGCAAACATCTAAATGAAATCATCAGAGTTTAATTAAATATTCAATGACTTTAGGAATCGGTGTACATTGTTTTATTCTGGTCACCCTTAACCTTGTTACAACTCATGGATACTTCACTTAACACTGAATATCATGGTAACCGACGCCTCGATACATGTTAAACATAACCTACAATTAGGTAAAACAAACTGCCGAAATCATCAAGCTATATCACCAAGCAAGCCCTGACTTAAAACACTCACGGCAAAACGAAAAGAGACGGACCAAGAGAATATATTGTTGGGAATTGGAAGCAGAGATCATGGCGATGAAGAACCGTTTTGCCCCAGTATTTGACCCCTCAGGAGTGAGCATTCGCGAACCCCACTCAGAAATTGGACACAGGACATTCAATGTCGCGAGTGAACGCCTAACTTCCAGATCGATAAACTAGAAACCAGTGACTTTATTGTCTAAATTCAGTCAATTCACGGTACTGAGCGAATATCTCCCATAGTCTGCAGTGGGTGACTGCCTCACATCCGACACGGTTTAGCTCCACTGGTCATGGCCTCTAGGTAGATCTCCAGAAATTTCATCTAAAAACTAGTCACTAGTGAGCATATGATAATCTGCACAGTCAGTTACTGAGAGTAGACAGCACTTGGGAACAACTGAAATGGAGAGCCCGGGACAAAGTAGATTGAAGATCCCTCGTCGGCAGCCTATACTCCCACGAGGAATAACAGACGTAATTAATAGCTCACAATTACAGACTTATTGAGTAAATTACAAGATTTGTCTGACACAGAGTTTAAACTTGATATTGTTCAACAAAAACTTCTAAATCACACTTCTTAAGATCAAAGTCAAGTTCATTCATTGTTCACGAATATACTGAGCTTAGACAGTGCAATTTATTACATCGACTTAATTTAAAGCCAAGCATACTATGAATCGGTAAAATGACTTTTTGTGTTTTATAACAAATAAAATGGGATGCCACTGAAGTATTCAGGTTGTTTCCACTTTCAGTAGATGTATAAGTAGACACACACCAATAATGTGTTACTACTTCGAAGCTCTATTCTATTTCTGTATCAAAACCTTCACAAAATGATTCAGGTTCAAAGTGTACTATAACAATCTATATTTAATTATAGAGTTACATTTATACACACAACATTAATTGTTACAAACGTGATGTCAGATTACCTAAGGAATTTTTGACATAACCTGAACTAAGAGACTATGCAACATCAGTAAAGAGATTAGATAAAATGTAGTTATAAAATATTCATTTCATAAATTAATCAGTTTTCATTCTTATTACAATAAAACATTGAGAGTTTTAGTAGTACATCAAGCAATCAGTTGAAATTAATACCCTTATCAAGTTTTGAGTAGAATATTTACAGTACAATGACATTTTAGGAAAATCATTAGTAGTCAATTCTTCCGTTTAGCTTTTCGGTGTACAGTAAAATAATAAACTTTATACGCAAATCTTTCTAGATCACATGATGAAAATTCAAGTACAAAAGAAAAAAAATCGAAATATATAAACTTAGTGTGCCCATTTTTGGATATATATATAGTCAGATGGAACTAACTGTAAGTACATTATTGATTAACAAATCCACCAATCAATCAGTGTTTGGATTGTAAATATCGCTGAAGCCCTGCTTCGGTTTGGGCACCCGAGCAGTATCACAGCCCTCACACAAATCAATTGAGATTCGTGTGGCGCATATGTATTTGTTGCCTCCTTGTACAAATGCTTATGTGTTAAAAATAAAATAAATAATAAAAATCGCTGAAGGAATGGATAAAAATTTACGGATAACTCCTAATAAAAATGCAGTACTAGCTCAGTATATCATTTATTTGTAAACTTTCACAGAGACATAAATGTTAAACTGCGCAACGTGATTAAAAGAAGATCTTAATGTTGCTATTGAGTTTAATAATTTAGACTAGTCAGTTAGAAGCATTTTAACATTGACACTAAGTTATTTTATTGAAAAACATCGATGACAGATGAAAGTAACTTCTGACTTAACCTATTACGCAGGATATTCTTTCACAAGAATGTGGAAGCTAAATTAAATTAAACAAAGAAAAAATTATAGAGGTTTGGTACTTTAAAGGATGACTATACTATGTATTATTTTCTTTGAAATGTTAACTGAAATGTCATTGTGATTTGAAATTTATCAAAGTGTAAATTACATGCAATTGAAGTTATTCACATCTTACAGTTATCATTCTTCAAGGGTAAGTAGTAACCCTACTGATGACTAGAATCATTGTGGATAATGAAACAAAGAAAAAGTTTTTCCTTATCTAAAGCCAAATTTTTTAACTGACCTCTTTATAACTTCATCTATGTTTAGGTTAATCTTAAACGCAAAATGAGGTAACTTTTTGATAATAACAATCAGAAGTACACATTAACTGAATGGTTAATAACTCTTTTCTTATTTTTGTGATGATATTATTCAAACATCCTGGTGGAATATCATAATCATCAATGTAAATCTTGATCAATTTTCAATACAGTATATAAATATCATTACTCAATATCATTGGTGAATAACTGATAAAGCATGTGAAAACTTTCGTCTAAATCTGATAGAATATTTTCAGTGTTTGGGCACCGAGTTGATGTGAGACATTAAGGAGGAGGAATGTAATTGGATGACCTATTTAGAATATAGTTAACCGGAAAACCATGTACTTATTTATATTCGATAATTTTGATATTTGATTATATTTCCTTGAAAAAGCTTGGACCAGAGTGCTAGGTGAAACATTGGGTTTAATTCAAATTCATTCGCTGAGATTTTACTAATACATTCTTCTTCTTTAATGATAAACTATGGTTCATTTCTGAAATTTACAGGATATTACACAAATATTTAATTGTCTTAATTTCATTCATAGTGATTTTCGAACTTAGTAAAATGATTTACATTTAACTCGTCTTGCATTTATATGCATTTTTAATGTAAATATGATTGACAAAATTGACTGTTTTTCTGGCTGTGTATGTGTTATTAGCTGTCTAAAATGAATTTTATTATTACTATTACTCTGATAGATTTCGTTATCACTGTGTTAATCTATATTATTATTATTATTATTATTATTATTATTATTATTATTATTATTATTATTGAAGTTTATAATTGTGATTACGTGTTCATCCTTATTGTAAACAGTAAAGAAAGTTCATATGACTAGAGAGAGAGGGATATGATTGATAAACAACATTTGTTCACATGATTATTTTCGTTTTTCTTTAAGACTTGATAATAAACAAACAATCATACAAAAACACTAGTTACATTAAATGATATCTCATTTATGGTCAATATTATTTGGTTGGTACATAAATAAGGGATAATAACTGGGGTAAATATTGCTGAATTAAACGTTCTCATGTGTATGTAAGAAAATGACAAAAACACTTTTATTATAATTCCTGACCAATCAAATAGTATTGCCTTAGTATGTATTCTACTAGTATGAAAACACCTTTGTCCTAAATATATACACTTCCATACACATGTTATTTAACCCATAACGTAAAAAATTTGTAGTATACATTATAAGTGATTATTTAGAGAGAAATAATCTGACCGCTTATAATTTTCGTTACTAGATAAGTTGTGACCAAAAATTATTTTCCTTTTGAGCAGTTGAAATTAAATTCTAGTTGGCTGTTTCTACAGTTTATAGCTTCCCCATCTATGAACTTAGGTAAAGCTATATTACAGCACCACCGACATTGAGAGGAACAGAAAGTGTTATGCCACTTTATTGGTTAATGAGTACACAGACAATTAAATCAAAAATATGTCTCTGAAAAAGCTATGAAACTTCAATGTATGTGATAGTTTTCCATTTTACAGGTTTTCGAAGGCATATAAACAGATTTGAAGTTTCTAGGGTTGAATTACGTTCATATTACACAAGACAATATATAAAATTTAGAACGTGATTCGACGATCACTAAGTCACATATCTAAGTTCACTAACTCGAAAACCATAGGGTTCACAGCTGATAGGTCAATGATGATTTAGAAACAGAAGTTACACGTGCGCCAAGTTTTTAAGCTTACGGTGATATCAACTATAGAGAAATACACGAGTGGACAGTATAAGCGTAAATTACAAACGGTCTCTTTTTAACTGTAACTGATTGTAATCCACTATATAACTATAAGTAGATGTTTAATATAATTTTCAATCAATAAGTGCGATTGAAACAGTTGGTTTGCGATATGAAGACATAGATTTGGAATGTATTCAATCTGTCCAATGAATACATAAACTAAAGTCATAAAAATATTGTTTTATAAAACTTAGGATTAGTCATTCCTGTTCCCGTCAAAATACTTTCAATTTGTGCAACAAACTTATCTCGTCTTCATTCGACACCACATGCCCTAATACGGTCAAAGTTGGGAAGAGTCAGCTCTCCTTCTCGAAATACTCTCACATGGCCACGCGTATACACCCACTGTCAAGGAAGTCCTACTCACTGCCTTCTCACAGCGGAGATGTTGTTTACGAAACTGAGAGAACAAAAAGCGAATGTCAGGCGTTTTAATCGGGTCGGTGGACACGGAGAGTCGGAAAACCCTGATTTCAAACCAACAGTGCACATGGGCTACAGTATCCTGAACGAACAAATGGTGCATGAACCTATTGTTGGTCACTGGTTGCCATGGGACTGCATCTGCTCACGTTGACCCACTGCCTTTTGGATCAGACCTTTAGGTCAAAGGCTCCGGGCGTTGCCCCTAAGAAAACCACCTGCTTCTGCCTTGGCACCCAGACAGTATCATAGCCCACACATAAATCATTTGATTTGCGTGATGTATATATTTGGCGCCTCCTTGTACCACTATTTGTGTTTGAATAAATAAATAAAATACATCTTCATTCGCATTGTTTGAAACATTCTTGTAGGTCTATATATTGATACTCAGTAAGGAAATAAACTATTTTAAATCTTATTTCAGAAGGGATATATCACTTTCATACACTCCAAATAAATCAAAGAACTGATTGTTGGAGGTGTTGTGGAGAGCAGTGTCACAAATCTAATACTGATACAACTGACTGATTAAGTGAGAAAGTGTATTGGGCTACCAAGTAAAATGCACAAATACTCATTTATGTATATACCACTTCAATCCTTAAGAAGCTGATCCTTTTCTTAGCCAAAGAAATGCACTTATCCTTTGGGTCACTTCTCATTGTCATCGACTGACCTTCTCATTAGGCTACATCTGATTGGCTCACCATATCAGGAGAAAATTAGCAGGGAACCCTACACCTAAGCAGTATATACAATCTCGACAAAAATGACCATACCTGTGGGATTCAAAAAAACCTGTCACACAGTATCTCAGACAGGGATACTATCACTAAGCTATTCGAGCTGCGATTGGTCTGAATGAATTAAACATTCATATTGACCAATCATTATGTAGTACCAATGACACGTTTATTTAGTCCGCAGCTGCAATCGAATTTGACCTATTGAGTTGCAATATGACCACTAATCTGAGTAGCAGATTGCAAGAATAATAACTTTATATATATATATATATATATATATATATATATATATATATATATATATATATATATATATATATATATAACTGCGTATAATCATTAGGAATTATTAACAATATCAACACCAATATGAAAAAGGCTAACCAACCGTATGGTCGGAAGTCGACCGAACAAGACAGTCAAAATGAATACAAGGAACAATTAGACCAACCAATCACAAACAACGCCACGAGAATAAACTGACTTAACACTTGTAGGATAACTACGTAAAGTAGGTGTTGATGTTGTCAAGATTGAAAATTAAAGTTTCATAATCGAATAATCTAGCTTGGAGAATTTAACGACACCAAAAGCATACAGTCAAAGTGCAAATCTCCATCATTTTAGTGTTACTAATAATGATAATAAGATTTGAAAATGTTTACACTCGTTACAAACCTTGAAATGTCAGCATTTGTATCCACTTCCCGACAATATAATAATAAAGTCGGTAATGCTGGAACCCGTATTGTATTTACCAGAAAAGGTTTAGTTGTTTCCATTAAATCCCTGAAAAATAGTCATAATAATCGAAAGAAAGTTATCAATCAATAAATGGAAAATCAATCATTTCAACGTGGAAAATTTAATAAGTTCAAAAATCAAATAATTTCTTTCAGGAAACCTTGAATAGTCTTATTTCGATCAACTAGAGAGTCAAACGCCCCGAAACGTGAATTACACACGATCTGATATAATCATGTATAACGTATGCATGTATAATGTATGAACCAGTATGATTGTAACAGATATGTGATCAAAGATCGTTTAAGTTAAACAGCATTTAAACACGGTAGTTCACATGTGGAACACGAAAATAAGCAAGAGGAATGTATATTTCATGAGAGAAGTTACGTGATACATACGCGTAGTCTTCAATCGCCCATTCGCATCTTTCGGTGTGTTCTGCCGTCTGAAATATCTTCTCGTCTGATCGCCAAGTGTTCTGCCAACGCTGTACTTCTGATGCACTGAAACTCTTTATTCCGTCTGAAAATTGTTGCAGTTTCAATGCCAGGTTCCGCTACATACTACTTACAAACATACTTGTGAGTAGCATCAACTACACACAAATATAAGAGGACATGTTTAATAGTTAGCTACTTAGTGATTTATAGCAATTGTATCTATTTCGGTCGACGGAATTGAATTAGGATTAAAATTGATTGGTTATGGTAATGTTAAACACTTCACAATAATATCACTAATGTAAATTTAGGCCGTTTCCAGCTGATTAGAGGCCTTGAAATATAAAGAATTCATTTTATTTAAAATATTTTGTGCTTTTTTCTTACTTAAGTTTATCAAGGGATCAGTATACATAAAGTAAGACTATTGACAATTGTATCTACAACAAATATGCACATAGAAAAATGGTTCCTTTTTTCAAAGATATTATATAAATCATGTAATTGAAAACATGTATTCAAGAAAAGGTTCCCAAGTTCGATGAAAAAAGGATATAAGACTATATGACTCGCGACATTTCAAAAAATAGTTTCTGTTGAAGAAATGACATAAATCGATCTTAGGTAGCAATGAATATAACTAACTTGGTTATCAGATATGAAGTTATATACCTGCTTTTATTAATTTACACATTTTATTAGATATGTTGATGTTAATTGAATATAACTTAATTAAAGTGTGGTGAAGGTTTATTGAAACCACTGAAATATGTGATAGTAGTATTTTCTTTTAAAAATGTGAAACCTTTTTAATCGTTACTCATATATTATAAAACAAAACGATATAGAATACGTGTTTCAATGCATTGAACATGGTTTAAATTTAATATTATAAAAAATCATCTGAACTGTCCTTGTTACTTTCATTTAGCATTCTTAGTTCGAATCTTCGCATTGATGTTTAGGACTGAAATTGATCAATCTCTTACTGGCATATGTGCATCCTGTGCGGATTGCCTCTGTATTGCCAAGTTACAAGCTTTATAAACAAACGTGGATGTTCTCTAGCAGCAAAATATAGGATGAGCGTTTCGTCCTATTTGGGATTCATCAGTTGGATGTACCTACATCCGAGTTGATGTTCACCCCAAGACCCAAACCCAGTGTCATTCGCTTCAAACACCATCGCGTTATCCACGTGAATACTGAATCCTGATAGCCAGCAGCTTGTGTAATGGGGTAAAGTTTAGATCCGATTTGTCCTTGTTACTATCGAATTAATGTAATTTAATAAGCACAAAATATAGCGTATTTTTCAATTTATTGTTTATTCTATTCATGCATTTAAAAAATAAGTGAATGTTTAAAGTGGTTAAATTTCCAATCAGTACACTACATGTTTGAATTCTACGTTGGCCATTATAGATTAGACAACCAGGCAGTATTATTACTTCATACATAAACTGTACAGCTTAGAACTAATTATATAAACTTATAGTCTTTTACAAAAAGTTTCATTGACTAATAACATCGTTCAACTTGTACATCGAGAAAGAAACATAACTTTGACGATGATTTCAGAGTAGTCAATCGTCAAAACAAGGATCAACAGTCCATTTAGATAATCTGAATTGTACTTTAAAAAAAACTATTAAAAAATATTGGCAAATAGAGTGAACATCAATTAAAATAGTTTTAGTATCAAAAGGGGTTTTGTGGAGATTTTAGTAATTTCAATTGTTGAGATCATAAGTCAGTTGAAGCTAGACCACCATGAAAAACCTGGAAGCACTAGACGGCCGTCACATTCTGTTGTGGGACTCCTCAACGGTGCGCACCCGCGACCCCGCCTCGCAGGATCCGAACCCAGGACCTACTGGTCTGGTGCGCCAGCACTTAACCATTAGACCACTGAGCCGAAATCCAGTGGTGTTAATGTCTAACTTCAACTAATCCACGAAATTGAGCGATACATCCACCATTGTCTTCAGTGAGTTACTATCTCACAACTGACCCGGTTGAACTCCACTGATCGTGGATAAGCAATGCTGAGGAGTCTCACAATATGACGAAATAACCGTCTAGTGCTTCCAGGTTTTCCATGGTGGTCTAACTTCAATTTACTCATGATCTCAACAATTAAAATATTTTAGTATACTTTATGTACTGTAGTTATCTGGGTGGGGTTAAACTCCAATCTCATTTGCAATTTTAACCTTGAACCTGGCAACCAACCAAAATCAAGCGTCGCTTCTTATTTACACTATCGTAATCCATGATGGACGGTGTGTTTCGTTATCTGTTGTTTTTGCTAGCTTACATAAAAAATGTAGTTTACTACGACGAAAATACCACTTCAACAAGCTACGGACGTATCAAATGTAGCGTAGTCAGTCAGGATGGAAGAAAAATTACAACACGGCAAAAGTCATACCTCTAAATTACTCTATAATAGAAATTATTGCAAAATGTTTACTATTGAGTGACTATATAAACGAAAACATAATCGTAATCACCGACTACGATACAATTGTATAAGTTGACAGTGAAGATCATCTCCAGCCACTCATCTATATTCGGAAACATATCAGAATTGGAAGAATAAAGTATAATTCTATCGTATGAATTATTATTTAATATATTGAAATATTATGAAAATTAGTCGTGTTTTGTCATTTACGTGTAACTATAATTAGTTTGGTCATTTTGTGCATACATAATGCATGCCAACTTCTAAGAATTCTATTATCATTTCATTATTAATTACAATACATTAAATTGGTAAGAATAAGAAGTTTCTATTTTGTCTGTGTGTGTGTGCAGATTTATGATTAAATCTGTTTATGTAGAAACCTAAAGATAAAATGAATGTATAATTAAACAGACATTTTCTGTGAGATGACAAAGTTAGCATATTTTAATGATATTGTAAACTATTAATTGTGTTAAATTTAGAAAGAAAAAATGAAAACTGAATATAACCTTTTCTCACCTATTTGTATAGATCTATTTTATCTAATTGATTTAGATAGTTGATTGTTTTTTTCTTCTTTGGTTTGACTGGTGATATACTTAACAGTTTTTTAATTATATTTACTATTGAGATATTGTATTTATTCATATTGTGATCCATTGATAATGATAATTATATGATGAGTTTAGTGAAAATCACCTAACTTCTTATAAATGGAGAATATTTACATATTATAAAGAACTACGTATTCAGTTCATCACGAAGTCAAGCACCCTAATACATAGTTGAGCATCATGAATAATCAACTCAATATTATAAAAAAAGACCTAAAGAACAAATGCAATCAAATACGAGAATCTAGAACCATGCAAGAATATGATGATCACCGTACTATTATTATTATTATTATTATTATTATTATTATTATTATTATAGTAATTTTTGGCTAGAATTCATGTCATTGATACTAACCTACATGTTCATTGGACCGGGCTTTAAACGGCCTGGTTAGAATTGATTTTTTTTCTACAGAAATCGATGACATACAATTTTAATATTAGCAGGTCAACAAAATTCAACCACAGACTTTCTCGTGTTTTTTTTTTGATAGCACACATACATACACACACAAAGTTTTATGTGTACATTAAATTTATAAAGACACATGAACTATCAATAATAAAGTATTAGTGGATAGACAGACCAATACATATGTGTCTTTTTTGTTGTTGTCGTTGTTGAATGAAAACCTGTCAGGACATTGAATTAATCTGTAAAGAAAATAAGAGAGAGATAGGCAGAGACTCGACGTTCATTTGTTGACTCCGCCCTAATAACATCTCCGATTTTTATAGACTGAAAGTTTCGAAATAATAACGATCGATCGATCGATCGATCAATCGATTGTAAAACATGAAGAAGGTTCAACAAACAATTCCTTATACTAATTTGACAAATACTGTATGTATGTTAGTTACAATAATAATAGATTGTTTTATTCAATTCATGAAACGGTCCGTAATTTATTTTTACAACCCAATAATCTAATAGTCATGTTTAACAAACAATGGTAGATCCAGAGAGTATAATAAAGCTGAGGATATATGTCTGTTTTGTTTAGTTATGTTTAGCCAAATTATAGAGTATTAAAAATATTCAAAAAAAGCATTATAGGAAACAAAATTTCCGACATTTACAAACTACTTATATAATTTTCATGAAATCAGATTGTAAATAGGACAAAATCAATAATGTTTAGTCATTTTTACTGTTTTAAAGAGAGTAAATGATTTTATATTAAATTACGATGAAAATTCTGTTTTAATTTACTAAGCTTAGTAAAGATAGCATTCACATCATTTTATAGGTTTGATATATATTGGTTATAGCTTTCCAAAATATAAAAAATTTCTTCAATTAAAAATAAAATATAAATTACACTCTTACATTTACATCTCAAGTAATGCAAATAAAAAGAAGAAAATTTTTACATCATATGTATTTTATGAAACTGACAGTTGCTTACACTGAAATCGGTGATATCCTCTAATAATATGTCCAAAATTGCAGTTTAAATTTATTTATAATATTGTATTTTAAGGAGAATCAATTGTAATATAAAGTTGTTTAGATTATTTGATAAATTTAAAAATGTTACTTATCATGAAAGGATATCAGCTGATTAACTTTTCAAAAAATCGGCGACCACCATTGAAAACATGGACCTGGTGGTCTAGTTTAAATTGACTCATGAATTTAACTATTAAAATTAGATATAATCTCTACAATGTCTTATTCTGATAATTCTAAATTCCTCAGTTTTTAACTTTATAATAAAATCTATATGAAACATAAATTTGTGGAATTTCGGTTTGATAAAATATACTCATAATTGTAGATTTTAGGAATTCATGCTAAAAATATTATATGAACGCTCAAAAATGTGGTGAATTCCCCTTTGAAAACTGTACACTTTCATCAATAAACAAATATAGAATTAATATTAGAAGGAGTTTTGTGGATATTATAGTGATTTCAATGGTTGAGATCACGAGTCATTTGAAGCTAAACCACCATGGAAAACCTGGAAGCACTGAACGGACTCATGATCTTAACCATTAAAATATAGAATTTATAACAAATACAACAAAATAAACATGATACATAGATAATCCTTATATACATTGTATACAGAGTACACGTAAACATCAACTATGTTGGACTCAGGTAATGAATAAAAGGATGTTACAATCACATACAAAAAAAGCTAACAAAGAAATTGTGTGAAAAGTGAAACTACTATTTTAGTGTAATATTATTCATAGTAAGAATGTGAATGAAAACACCAGTAAGACTACTTACTTATGTGTAAATATCGTAATAATTACAAACTTTACTCACAATTCTTATTTCTAGATAAACAATCGCTAAATTTAAATTCACGAACCTCATTTGAAAATTGCCTAATATACGAGGAGGAGTATTTAAACACAATATTCAGTGATGAAAGCTGACTGTTTGAATCTAGACATAAACAACTTTCGGTTTCGATATATAAGATTTGGTAAACTTTTATTATACATAGAATACATCAGCTAAATAACATATATCCATTTATAAAGACAATAATGCAAAGTACATTTAGAGTATAACGTCACATAAAAGATGATTACACATGAATGACTTTTATTCATAGTTTTGACTACAGACGATATGAAAACGTATTTTAAAAAACCTTAAAATCCAGTAAAGGACTGACTAACCCTGAACAGATTTTTTACTTATCGACAGGTTAATATGTTTAAAAGTGTTGACTACTCTGTTTAATTGAAATCACGGATCTACAGGACTGGAAATTAGCAAAATACTATTAGACTACTAAATGTAATTCAGTAGGTCGATTATTATCAGTGAGTATAGTTCGCCAGATTTCATGTGACTTGAAATATTTCAAGGTTTTAATCAAGTTTACAGTGGTGTATCCACGACTGCCAGCAGTCAGTACTTGGTACGATAATAACAACGAAAAAGTCAACCTAAATTTAATTTTTTATACACAGAATGCTAATCATTGTTACGCAAAAAACAAAGGTACCATAAGTGTTGCTTATAAGCTACAATCGTTCAGATATCCCATTCATAAGACTGAATTTATCAGAACCAAAGTAGAAGAAATAATAACGGAAAAGAAGTCGAGTATAAAGATGAATGAAAATATTTGAGTAAGCATATCTTTGTAAAACAGTGAACAAGGAATAAATACATTCAAAAATTTATAGAATGTATACAATCAATCGTCTTTCAACAAACTAATTATAGGATTTAGATTGTTAAAATTTAGTTACAGCATAAAGACTCGATTGATTTTTCGGTCAAGTCAATAAGCGAGAACAGAACCAGATGTTTTGAACAGATAAAAGTAGAAAACTCAGGAAGAAAATGAAATGATTCTTTGCATTGGAGTTGATGAACGCGTTGGTTTCAGGGAGTAATGATAACTTTTACAGAAAGTAAAACAACTAGAGTTTAAAATCATTGGTAAATCCTAAACAAAAGAGACAGTACCAAAACCTAAGAAACTGGTATCCTCAATATGACACTAAATTTCACTACGCCTCATGTTAAGGAGTAAATATATAACTCAGCAACTCAGCCATAATTGTTAATTAAATCAGTTAAATCTATTATTGTAATAAATTGTAAACATGCATCTAGTTATTAATTAATTCGAATCAACTACTGGCCAGTTCAATGCGTCCAAATGTAATTAATCACGAGATAGGTAAATCATATATATCCCAGCATAACTAGATATGGTATTGATTTACTTGTGGCTTATAATAAATCTTAATCTAAATAAAATTTTGTTCTCTTCCTTGCACCTAAACATATAAAGATTATTCCGCTGTAAAAAGTCTCAAGCGAGAGTTTTTCAAACGTTATAACAAGTAATAATAGGAGTATCATTGCCCAGTTACAACATTTAATTGCGTAATCAAGTGGAAACTGAATTCATATGGTTAAAACATGAATATAAGAGAAATATTGTAGAATTCCTAAATAGTATACAAAATTCTTGCACAAATTACCAAACAAAATAAATTGAAGTCCCCTTATCAATGTAACCAGTAATTGGAGAGTGTAAGTTATAAAATAAGATGAAACAGATTTATTTTGATAAGGGATAATGGCCATGTGATATTGTGGATTGACTAACATTGGAAACGTGAACCACTTAGATACCAGCTCAATTATCTAAAGATATAGTGCTTACCACGAGCCCTGAAGGTCCTAGGGTAGGTTCATTGTAAGATTCCGGATTCGCATGGTTGAATAATTCCTAACTAGGACAAAACACCTGTCTAGTACTTCTTGAGTTTCAATGGTTTTCCAGTTAAAGGCAATTTGTTATGTAAACTTTCATGTTGCTTATGACTGGTCTGTTTACAAATTAACTTATTGTAATGACTAGTGCAAAATACTGATACTGCTAATGATTTGACTATTTGCGGTACGACTGCAGAAAAACTGTCACTTGCTACTCGCTACAATAGAACTTAATTCAAAATATAATTTAATTATAAAAGACAAACTATGTATAAATGATAGAAAAGGGGTTAGTAAGATTATTGAGGTTGTTGTGAAATGATTAAAAATCCCTGATGATAATATTAATGCAAGTGATAGTCATTATATTTTATCATTAAAAACAACTATCAACTTACAGATACATAAGTAATTGATGATCGTATGCAAAACCAGACGGTAAAACATCAGCAATACTTTCTTCTTCTGTTTGTTCACCATCAAAATCATCATCTGTTTTTTGTTTCGAATTTTTATCTGGTAATAATGTTTGTGACTTTTGTATCTTTGACAGGTTTGGATGATTATTATTCCGTTTTTTTGAAGTACGTTCAGGAAATAACACATCTGGTTTTCTAACAAATACATCATTTGGATGAAGTGTAACAAAACCTTTATTCTAAAATAGAATAGAAAAAAATGGTTAAATTGTCGACGAGGAATATTTGTAGCATAGAATGATCATTTTGAAGGTGTTGTGTTCTTTGAGCTGGAAGGTTTAATTGTGAAGCTCTCATTGTCTTTCTAGATGACATTATCAACATACACTTCAATAAGAAGTAAGTTATTAAAACTTAACCACAACTGACTAAACGTTTGTTCTGTTAACCTTGACAAATTATAATAGTTCACTTTTTATTGAAGTATGCATTGATAATATTGTCTATAAAGATAATATAAGCTTGACCCAGCTCAAATAACACAAGAACTTCAAAATTATGAGATCACAAAACGAAATATATCATTTTATGAAAAAGAATCAATAAATTAACATATCAGATAGTGGGGAAATTTTCAACATGTTTAACTTTTAACTCATAAACATGAATAATACCAGGTAGATATATTATTCCTTAAAAACAGTAACACATCTAAGTGATAGTAACAGAAAAAGATTTATTAACTAATGTTTTTCTTCAGTTTAGTATGAACTTGATGTAATCAATTGAGTTAATCAGTCATAAGCAACGTAAGACACGAGACATAGATATGGATCCGTCTAGGTAGATACACCAAATAAGCACAGAGAGATTAAATTAAAATGACAAGTTCGAAACGTATGAAAATAATACCAGAAAGGATTAAACATAGAGAATATATTTCTAAATGAAAGTATGAATTCAGGTAATAAAAAGTATCGAATCTTATTGAAACTGAGAATCTATGAGAATATAAAGAATAGGCGTATATGAGCCACAGTGATTTATTTCGATCCCTAGTATCCAAGGTTTCCAAACACTTTCCGGACGCAAAATGGGCAGTTACGGGGCTACTGACGAAATAAAGATCAACAACCACTTTGCTTCTAACTCCACTATCCGTCAGTAGGTGGTCCTATCAAATATGAACAATATTTCGATGATATCTATGATAAAGAAATTGTTACTTACTACATGTCTTCTACCGTAAAAAGTTCGTTTCATAGCTATGAAGTTAAATAGATCAGACTGTTGCACGATACACCAGGCTTTTGATAGGTAGAAGGGATGTATTTTTTAAATCACATTAAGATGGCCTTTTAAACCTATGTCGAGATTTTGTCTTTTACACCACATAATCGATGAACCACAGAGAACATCAAACAGCCCTAAGAAACATCAAACAAAATAATGAGGTGATGATTCTACGACCAGATAAAGGTTCAGGTGTAGTCCTAATGGATACAGCTGATTATGTAACTAAGATGAAGTCAATCCTAGACGATCAACTGAGGTTCAAGGTAGATAAATCCAAAAAAGATTCGACTGATTCAATAGAAAAACGAATCACAGGAATGCTCAGAGAACTTCTAAAAAAGAAAATGATTGATAATTCTACTTACAACGATCTAAGACCACGTGGTTCACGTTTACCTCATATGTATGGTTTACCAAAAGTTCACAAACATGACGTTCCCCTTAGACCTATCCTATCAATGATCAACTCACCGTATCATAAAGTTGCACGCTGGTTAGCAGTAAAACTAGAACCGGTTCATCGGAGATTAGCAAAATACACGTTAAGAGATTCATTCCAGTTTGCTGATAGATTAAATCATACGAATGTTACCGATAAGTTCATGGTCTCTTTTGATGTAACATCCTTGTTCACCAATATATCACTTTTAGAAACTATTGATATAATTTGTCAGAATGATGATCTCCTACCTTTATCAGCCCCAGAACTAAAAAAACTACTACTAATGTGCACAACTGATGTTCAATTCCAATTTAATAACACATCGCCAAATCGATGGCGTAGCAATGGAGAGTCCACTAGGTCCAATTCTGGCAGATATTTTTATGGGGTATCTTGAAAACACGGTACTTAAACAGGCGATTAGTGAAACGACGGAATACTACAGATATGTGGACGACACATTTATTGTCTGTAATAATAAACAGCATGCAATCCGCCTGCTAAAACTCTTCAATAACGCTCATCCTAACACACACTTTACTATGGAGCACGAACAGAACGACATGTTCCACTTTCTTGATGTTGCTATAAAACGTAGGAAAGACGGGACAGTACAACGTTCAGTTTATAGAAAAAGCAATTGGAATGGCCTCTATCTGAATTTCAATAGTTTTTGTAAAGTTAGTTACAAGAAGGCACTGGTTAAAACACTATTTGACAGGGTAGAAAAGATATGCACCACCGACAAACTTCAAGAAGAATTAATGAACCTAGAAAAATGTCTAAGAAACAACTTCTATCCACAAAAGTTTATTGACAAATATAAAAAGCCCAAATAAAACAAGATGGAAATAACTACGGTCAATAAAAAGACAGTATCTATAAATCTTAACTTTAAAGGTGATAACGTCGCACAAATAATCAGTAGGAGACTGAATATTGCGCTTGCCAGAACTTATCCGGCTGCTAAACTTTTAATTTTCTATAAAACAACATGTTCAATAACTCAATCAAAGGTCGACAAGCACCCCTTTCATGTTACCGCCAACTGTATTTATAAATTTACGTGTACCTGCCAAAGCAGCTACATTGGCCGAACAGAAAGGAGAGCATACCTTAGATTTTTTGAACATGTTCCAAAAAGTCTTAGAACAAGGGAAAGAAGGACTCTGAATAGTGCAATCACCATTATTTTCTTGATACAGGACATCAGGTAGATACCTTACAATCCTTCAAGGTGATTAGTAAGCAGCCAAACTCCAGTCTTCTGAAGTTTGCTGAAGCCGTTGCCATCAGGCGTCAAAAACCTGACCTACGTGTTCAAAAGGAGATGGTTGTTAATCTTTCTTTGCCTTGGTGACAAATATTCCTTCGCTGCACCATAAATCATATTGTTTTTGTTTTTATTACATCATTGATTTTCATTATTTTTATTTCTTCGACTACGTTTCAAAATAATAATCTTTTAACTGAACTCTACTCAATATATTCCTATCAAAATTTTTACTCATTATGTAATCAATTGTTTCTAACCCCCTTTTTGAACTGTTGTCACAATTAATGTTGTAGAATATTCTTTCAGATTAGGTATATATTCAGTCTATTAATTTCATTTACACCCTTTATATACTATACGAATATGTCTTCAATATAACTTCTAACCAAACACTCTCATGTAAGTCATTTAAACTCATTATCTAATTATGATTTATAAATATCACAAGTTGTAAGCAGCTGATGAGAACCTACGAAATAAAATGAATTCATGCTATTCTGCTAGAATCTTTGTTCTTGCTCTTTTCAGAGCCACAGAGGTTTGCATCCTATCAAATACAAGGCCAAACGATGATCAAAACTAAACCATACTATTCTGATTCATATTATTATAACTGGAAAGTATTAGACCATAACTTACCATGATTTATAAATACCAATGTGTACATAACTCCGCCTGGAGCCCCTCTGGGGCTACTGCCGTTATGGCGCATCATAGTGAAAGCCGAGTTTCTTCAGAAGTCACGAGGCTGATGCCCTTTCTAACAACCAGAGCAACCATTAACTTAGGTACATGGAATGCTCGTACAATGTGAGAGACCGGGAAGACAGACATGAGAAAAATGAATAACAATTGCATAGAACTAGAAAGGAAGGCCCGGGACAGAGTGGGTTGGAGAATGCTGATTGGCGGCCTATGGTCCACTGGGAGTAACAGGTGTAAGTAAGTAAGGACAGTTTTTCGGGATTTTTAAGTGAGTAACCGATTTGTAGTTAATTAACTAAAGAATTCCTTTCTCTTCTGCTTTCTCCTAACAAAATTTATCTACTTTAATTTTGTATTTTTGTCACAATCAATATCTATCTTGACAATCAGTAAGCGTATTTACTCGACTACTCCTGTTACCCCTCGTGGAGGAACATAGGCCGCCCATCAGTAAGAGTAGTCTTAGTATAATCCTATATAACTACTGCTTCAAAAGACTTAAAAAGTTGTCCAAAACACCAACAACTTAAATTCTCTAGAATAATCTTTAACATGCAAGGAAAAACTCAGTCGACCTCTTGATCAGCGTTCAAGAATCAAATATTTTTTGAGTGTTTTTTTTATAAATTGACATTTCTGGTATTCGTCAAACATTTCTCGTCACTTCGATTAATTATCTGAAGGGGATATATATATATATATATATATATATATATATATATATATATATATATACTGCAATGTCAACCAAGTGGTATTCTTCAGATGATATTCATGAACGAAAAACGAACATTCACCTTAGTATGAAATACCATTTCAGCACCAGCTCCAGCTGTACCACCACGATTAGCAACACGATAAGCGTTGGCTGAATCACCAATAGCTAACTGAGGATACATACCACCAGCTAATACAACTTTTAATAGTTGAAGATCAGCTTGTGTCATGTTTTGTTGAATATTAGCTGATTGCGCTAAAGATGATAGATTGTAACATAATACTAGTTCTAAATCTTGTACAGGTACATTTGATGAATTGATTGACGAGCGACTCGACGCATTTAACCATTTACGTAACTTAGATGAATCACTTTCCAGATGATGATCTTCTTTTTCAGATTCCGAGTTATCACTCAACTGTAAAATTAAAGTAAAAAGAGGCAATGTAATGAAAACTATTGGAAAAAATAAAATGATAATAATTCAATACAGTAACCATCATGTTGAAATACTATAAGTGTATTATGTACTAAAGATTATCATAAGATTTGATAGCTAGACTATGATTAGAGAATGCAGTTAAAATGTGTGACCCATTGATTTCACGTTAATGGTCTATGAAAAATGACACTGTCATTTTTGAGACTACTTCGAAAAATAAGTTATTAATATCCCTACATTTACGCGCTAAACTGTGTTATGATCATCATTTTCTCCAATTGATTACTTCGCATTAACTGTCTTTTCCAGTGGACTATTTTATTACTTCTATTCTAAGGTCATGTGAACGGAATAGAATAAGCACCGTTGTTACTATAACTATATATATATATATATATATATATATATATATATATATATATATATATATATATATATATATATATATATATTATATATATATATATATATAGACGAAGAACGATTTGGACTAACCCTAATACGAATATGAAACTTGCCTTAAGCCTGACCACTTTCGGATTATTAATTTGGATACATGATTGCAGAACCTGAAGAGAATTTACTGAAAAGACTATTCTTTGTTCATATATTTATGTTTTGTTAAGGTGTGTTTTGTTTCGCAACACTTTATTATGAACAATGAGAACTGAAAAGAAATAACCATACATAACACAAAATTGTACAGTATTCGATATAAAATGCGATCAAACTAGCTAAAACAAACAAAGCCTATGTATTTGAAATGATGATGACTTTTAGCGTGAGGGAATACTGGTAAAAGTATATTTTAGGAACGAGCTAACCAGAATAGAGAATGCGACTTTTAGTTTTTGTGCGAAATTAAAATATCACGTATAACGAGCAGTAGATATACTTTTAAATACTTCTCAAAACATTTAAAATGATAGCGGAAAGTTATTCTGTGTAACAATATGGTAAAAATGGTATTTTTAAACAAATGCATAATTCTTTCTCTTTAGATTACATATAAAAGGTAAATCGAAGCAACCCTTAAATTCTAACCTCAAAATTCTTAATTCTGGAACAAACATAGACCTGATAATATTGCACTTTAAAGAGTTTCTCATATTTTTGAGTGAAATACACCGACTTATACAGTTACCCACCATTGTTACATTATAGCTGATGTCAATTTGTAAACCTAACCATAAACTTAAACCCCTGGTCCTAACCTTAACTACAAAACATTTAGGTACTCTTAAAAATCTATTTGGATTCTTTTAAGGGTTGGATGATATGGACAATCTATAATAAGGACTAGACACACATGACATTGGTCACCCAGTGATCAATCAATTGTGATTACAATCTTTATCTATTGAGACGAGTTTATACATCATTGTTTTTTTCGATTTACATCCAGAAGAAATTGTTAATTGTATAAAATCTGTAAAATCTATACACTTCGTAATATCATTGTTTTTTTCCCATAAACTATCGACTTATAAAAGCTATTTTATGATTTGCCAGAAAATGGTTCGAAGTTCATCGTGGTTGTTTTAATCTCTTTACTATGCTATATTCTCACAGTATAAGCATTTGGTGGTTCTATGTTCATCAGCTTAAATATTTTAATTGAGAAGCTTTCATTATCATTCAGGACAATGCTATCAGTGACTAATCAATTTTTAAAAATCATTTTATAAGTCCTGCATCCGTCCGTTACTTGCAACCCACCACAATGATTTAATTCTATTTTATGAAGTTACTTCTACCAACATACTACGACAGCTGTGAACACGGATTTAAATGCAGAAATGTCACAGAATTCCTAAAAGAATGTCACTCATACCAATCTGCAAAGAATAAGTGGTATCAACATACATCTAACAATCTATGCAGGAAGGATTAATCAATCGCTATTTCAGAGAGCAACCTAGTGAAAAAAAGTCACTGGGAAGAGGACGAAATGAAGATAACGAGGAAATCCAAACACAACCAAAACTACCAGAACGGATTGTTTTGATGGAGTTTTTGAATAATAATGAAAGCTTTGTAATCAAACCATTTAGCTTAGATGATATAACTCTACCATGATTGTCTTTTTAAAATTGAAACTTACAACTAATCTGTTAATCATTTGATAAGTTAAACTTATTCGGTATTCAGGTCATGTAACATTTATTCAGTACTTCGGTTGCTTCCGAAAAGACCATGAACAGATGTGTTAATTCATACACCTGAACATGAATAACAGGGTTTTTTAAAGATTAAATCGTGTCAAAACAATTTTTACAAGAAACTTTGATAATATCGAATTTCATTTGAAACTAGCATTCATCATAACTTATTCAAATCATTGTTCATTTATTTCTACTGAATAACATACATATTTCGTACAGAAATATGATTAAGAATTAGTTATAAACCATTGGTTAATGATTCTTATGTAACTTAATTCACAAGTAAAGAACAGTGCACTCGACTTTGAGCCACAATTTGTGTGATGACTAGTGATACTACTCGAATGCCTAAGAGAAAGTGTATGAAGCGGGACTCTAACATGTGACCTACCAATTGAAAGCCAGATGTCTTAACTAATAGATCGTCGCCTTTAGTACAAAAGACAAATACATTCACCTACAAATTACTGTATAGCACCGGTCAGAAAATGGCTTCTTTCTCATGTGTCAAAGTACACATGTATGTTCTTAGATTCTAGTCAAATAATTTTATACGACAGCTAGCTGCCAAAGTGAAGTATGCGGAGTTAGAATATGAAACATAAAATATAAATTCACTTTGTGTTGTTTTACTTGTATCTTCCAATTGTTATTTAGGACTGCAATTGACCAGTCTCTTGTTGGCACATGTGCGGATTACCTCGACATAGCCTTAAGTCACAAGCTTTTTAAGTAAATATAGATAGTGGCTAGCAATGGAATCCAGAACGCGCGTTTCGTCCTATTTGGGATTCGTCAGTTGAATGTAACTGTATCCCACCAAAAGAATTTAAACTTCATCCCATTGCACAAGAGTGTGGCTATCAGGACTCAATGTATAATGCGACGGCCTTTGGAGCGAACGGTACTAGGTTCGAGCTTCAGAATGAACATCAATTCTGGGATCCAGGCCCACTCGGCTGATGAGTCCCAAATAGGACGAAACGAGCGTCCTGGATTCCATTGCTAGCCACTATCCATCGTTGCATAAAATATAAGGGTTTAATTTCTAATAATTAAACCAGTGCTTCAACTATGTGACTTAATACATGTTAAGAAACCCGACTTTCAGACACATCTTATGTATGAAAGTTAGTGATAATACCTGAAATAAATAGAGTGTGGGTCGGATATCCGACCTAGGGGTTGAGAGTCAAATTTATTTAGCACTGAATCACCGAACTTATGCAATGACGCAAACAAATAGCAGAACTTACATTATCTTGTAAAGTGAGAAGTCGACGTCGTTTAGATTTCATTCGTTCACTACGTCTTGCATAATTTAAATTTTTAAAGTGTTGTGTTCTAGATGGGTTTTCATCAGACTCTGTGGATTTACTATCAAGTAGACCACTGTCTTTTAACAACTGTGCGAATTGACTACGTAATCGGACCATTTCATGAAGACGTTGCTGTTGTGCTCCAATACGACGACACCATCGTTTAATGTTTGTACATCCTTTATCATTATTATTATTATCATTATCAACTTCGTCTAATTCATGATCTTGTTTAATAATACCAGTCGCCTCTGATTTCATCTAATGGTTAGAGCAAAAACAATTGTAATCAAAAACGTTAATTCACACTGAAAAATGAATTATGGGAGAAATAAAGCAAGGTTATTTTGAGTGTTTTTACTATCTTATTTAGGATTGAATAAGTTGAACCGTCATGTTTTTTGTCGTTTAAGACAAAAATCTTTAATATGAGAACATTGGGTAGAAAAAGAAAAGATAGATTACGGGGAACGTTCCATGTTAAATCGTCTATGAACAACAAATTATACGCAATGTACGAAAGCCTTAACACTTTTGGGAACTTCATTCTCATCTTTGGTCAATCATCAGTCATTTGATGAGAGGCAAATAATCACACCCTATTGATTCAGTATAAATTTTACATTAGCTTCGATCATTTAATACACATTCAATAAATTGGCTGATTTACATTTTTATAAACTGATTGCTATCTTATTAATGATGATTAGTATCTGTATTGAAAAATAACGTTTAGTATTTCAAAATTTGATATAATATATGAAAGGTGTCTCAGTCTACGGACCCTGTATAGCAGTTCTATTGCACGAAATTCAAACTTGGAGAACTACTTCAATTAGCATCAAAAATGTACGGTTATATATATATATATATATGGTTGTTTACGCAAGATATTCAATCTCCGTTCGTTGGATACCATCAGCAACAACCTACTATGGAAGAAAACAAATCAGCTTCCAGCTGAAGAGGAAATTAGGAAGAGACGCTGGAGATGGATAGGAAATACATTGTAGAGATGATCAAGCCATAACTCGGAATCATTCGGAGAGGGAAGGAGGAAGACCATGAAGTACACTGGCTTGGGAATCGGAGGTAGACATCAAAAGAATGAATAACGATTAGGAACAACCGTAAAGGATTACCCAGGACGGAGTTGGTCGGAGAATCCTTATTGGTGGCCTATTCTCCATGAAGCGTAACGGAAGCAAGTACTTACGCCTGTTACTCCTCATGGAGGAGCATAGGCCTCTCCATCTTACCCTGTTCTGGGTCAATCCTTTTCAGTTGCTATCCATTCTTTTCATATTTGCTTCCAATTGACGATGTAGTGTGTTCTTCATCCTTCCACTTTTCCGTTTTCCTTCAGGGTTCCAAGTTAGGGCTTGACTCGTGATACAGTTGGATGATTCGCGTAATGTATGTCCTATCCATTTCCATCGTCGTTTCCTAATTTTCTCTTCAGCTGGAAGCTGGTTTGTTCTCTTCCACAGTAGGCTGTTGCTGATGGTATCCGGCGAATGGGTGTTGAGTATCTTGCGTAAACAACTATTTATAAATACTTGTACCTTCTTGGTGATAGTTGTAGTAGTTCTCCACGTTTCAGCTCCGTACGATAGAACTGTCTTGACGTTCGTATTGAAGATTGTGACTTTGATATTGGTTGACAGTTGTTTGTGAAATTACACACGTGACATTATTGGAGGGATTTGATTATGCTCTTAATCAATATCTCAGCCTACACATCTTTGTCTGGATTAGAAGGATAAATGTATGTATGGTAATGATCTGTGTACCTAAATATTCAGTTTTGTGAATTATAGTTTCCTAGTAATTTTTGTCTTCTCACACACGCAGCTGCTTGAGAAGTGTGTGTATCTGAATCGAATGCCGTAGATCTCAACAAGAGTTCACACAGAAAAGTTGGTAAAAACATGGTTCTAACATCATTGACAAGATAGTAAATAAATGAATGAAATATAATGATGATGTTGTCGAGACAAGTTATTGATTTCAAGTTATAAAAAACCCTGCTTTCACTTCAAGTTTAAAATATCTTCATGAAGAATTCTAAAAGGTACAATGCCTACATAAACTGTTATCTACTGGACAACCTCAAACATCAAGATAGGATATGTATAATTACAAACTATCACACTAGTAAGAAAAAATGAAAAGCTAGCCTAAGATTCTATTCATTACACATTATTTTCATGAATTATAAATATAATAAGTTACTACTTGCATTAGCATATTTTAAGCGTACACCGGAGAAAGTGTCAACTTCTCCACACACCTGATTGGCTTTTGCCAAATTGCGTCAGTTGTGGCATAGAAGAGATATCTGTCTACCGACCAGAGGGCGGGGTTTGCTGTGGAGCAGTTCGCTTCGTTCTACTTTTGTAGGTGTGAAAAATGGTCATTAGAAATAGAGGATATTCGCAGGTTATTAGTATTCGATCAAGGTGTATCCAAAGCATCGTTCATGTATTTTAAGACCACGGAGTAAGCAATACATGTGTTAGGAATAGAGTACTAGATAAAAATGGCAAATCGATTGATGAGGTAGTAAATCTTAGTCAACTAAGGTGATTGGGACATGTTACGTATGCCCAACCACTGCGTACTTAGATGGGCGATGTTGTCTGGCATAGCAGTAGATTGGAAAAAAATTAGGAGATAACAAAACAAACCAAGGTGTCAGTCCATGAAGCCAGTGACAATTGTACTGAGTCATATTAATAGGTACAGACTACCTGGTTGGGGTCCGCGTGGTTGTCGCAACGGTTGGAGACTCTGGGTAACATAACTTAGAATCGTTCGCAATGGCGCAAATGCATCCATTTTTTATCTACACCTAAATCTTGAGATTTTAAATTCCTCATAACCTTTTTTGTTTTTAATTCATCAATCTATATTTTCTTCTCGAATCCAAACTCCTATGCCTAATCTTTCCTATTACGATTGATACTTTTACTACCTCTATTATTGTGGTATTTGGCCCGAAAATTTCATCTTTTTGTGCTAACGGGGTACAGCAACTTGAACCGATGCACGTACCTACAGGTTCTACATTGTGACTGACTGACTGGAACAGTAAGAAACAAACACCATTTGAATATCTGTTAACAATTATTTAACCATATGGTTAGAAATTAAATGTGAATATATAATTATTATCACCAACAAATAAATACAAGAAATAATAAATATTATCAATTACACGTTATTGAGATAAACTACCTTAATCCATTCATCAAAAACATTAACCAATGTAAACGCATCTCCATGATCACTTTCATATTCAGCTAGTGATTCAATTCGACGCGTTTGTTCTGCTCCACTGAAAGCTGTATACGGTAATAATGGACACTGAATAGCCATACCAGCAGCTAAACTTAATACGGGACTAATTAATCTTAATAATGAAGCCATAATTAACATACGACCAATTGAAAATTCAACTGGTATATCAGATAATAATTGACCAAGTGGCGTAACCGTTAACAAGTTATTCTGTGGAATAATTGCACCATGTGACTGAAATGAGAAAGTAAAACGAGACAAACACTTGTCTTCAATATTCTTTTATTTATCTAAATACTCTGAACTAAACAGTAATTTTTTACATGGAGGTTCCTTATGTGATTCTTAAGAGAATCTTTCGAAAATGTAAGCTCTTAGGTTGATACACAATGGTAATATTACAGTGATTCAAATATATGAAGCTGTGAAGTAAGAAATAAAATTAAAAGAGAATCTTGTATCCCACTGATAATTATCAAATTTTACTGATTGTTTATTCTAACGTAGAATCAGTAATTTAATGATCAATGCGTTGAACATTCAACTGCTGAGTTACAAGTTTAAATCATATTTTGCCTACATCAATTTGGATAACTTCAAATGATGATATTCTATAACTAACATTTCTAGTCTGTTTATTCTGTTTCCGTGCATGATACCAAATATTGTACTTTTGCTTTAACAAGCCCAACATAACAAGATTAACTGATATCTTAATGAACAAAGACAGATCACATTATTTCAACTCTTTTATATTTACTCAGATATATTTATAATATATATGTATTTGTTGAAAGCGATCTCATAGGCTTCATTATAACAGTACTTTAAATAACCAAGATGATAAAATATTAAATTAGTTTTTATTATCAATGGTTTGAAGTCTTATGCAAAGTACCAAATCTCATGTCATTTAACATAAAGTTTGACGTTGCTAATATATTTTCATATGGAATTTCAATTGATTTATAAGTTTGGCTCATAAGTTATGATGAAAGATGTTGATAATCTTAATTTGAAAAGTAGATATTGTGTAAAAATCCAAAATGGTCAGCCAGTGTCAGTATGTGATTACCATAATGCATAACCGATATGCGAACTATAAATCATTTCAACCAGGGTTGAATGTATAATTTAAGCGGTCAAAGCTGGAGATGTGTCACTGATCATTTATAACACCATAAAGGAATACCTCACAAAAGTTAGTAGGAACTCCACTATGACGTATATGTCAACTGATTCACAAATAAAAGTTATAATGACACTCAAGAGGAAATCAAAGCCATTTCTGAGATGGCCACAAGGAATTTGATGTTGTACAAGCCCAAATGGAAAACTACTTATGATTCAAGAAGAGGGAGATGCTGTGTAGATGTGGATAGAGAAAAATACACAAATCAGAGAGTTATTTTTTAACTAATTTATGTCCCTTTATAAAACAGCATTTTTACACAAACTTAATAGCAATCCCTCTTTTATCAGCCAATTAATGTTAAATCCATTACTAATCAAAAACTAAAAAAATTGATGAAATATGATTGGGTTACGCTCAACTCTGTAGAGAACATCTCTTAATTGTGTGCCTATTACAATTTATAAATTGTAACATATTGTAGCCTGGTATTTTACATGTTTACTTACATAGGTTATACATGTTAATAAATAAACGTAATTGTGAATAATTATCTCAGTTTGTAACTAGAGGGTTTAGAGAAATAGGAATTAACGCTGTGAGTACCAACTATATGAGAAAAATACAGTAAATTAGTGGACATAATAAAAATCACTGTTAAATATTTCCAGATGATCAGCAAGAAATTTTAAAGCTCACTTTTTTTGTGCCTAAAAATTACACCGAGTCTCTCTTATGAAACAATTTACATATGCTACTAGAAAAGTGTTTTATAACATAATACGAAATGCAATAGTCAGCTAAATAACTACTTAACATTGGAACAAAAATGAGAGCTTATAAATCGGTTAACCTTAAGAACATATCTTGAACAAATATAATAAGAAATAAATAGCGGCGAAGTAAAATAAGTGGTGGAAAATTGATCCAAAAGAAGGATGTGAACAGATGATAAACACGAGGAAATCACAATGTAAGTTAGTGAATTCCACAATAGTATGAAAATTAAACAAAAAATAATCACGTGCAATGTTTCAATATGAAAAAAGTGAAGGTCAAAACGAGATTATCAGTGGTATAGGTGATTACAGGGTGATCAATTCTTTTGAACATCATAGTTTCACAAGAGATTGATTAATAGAGGTCTGAATAGCTCACTGGTAATGTCTATGACCATGCTAATAGGCAATTTAGGTTTGATTCTCTACAAGGTCATTAGTTCCCTCAAGATTCCAGATATGCCTTGCAGATCAGTGCTAATCCAACACAAAACCCAATTAGGGAATTTCTGACTACTGAATTCAATCAGTTAAACAGTATGAAATCACTCAACAAATGTATATAAAACTCATCAGTGATAATTAAACGATGCTTCATTTCAAGGTGTTTTTTATTTATTTATTTTAACACATAAGTATAGGTACAGGGAGGCACCAAATACATATGCGCCACACAAATCTCAATTGATTTGTGTGAGGGCTGTGATACTGCTCGGGTGCCCAAACCGAAGCAGGTGGTTGTCTTAGGGGGCCACACCCCGAGCCTTTGACCTGAATGTCTGACCCACAAGGCAGTGGAGCATCGTAAGGAGATGCAGTCCCATGGTAGCCGGTGACCAACGATTGGTTCATACGCCATTTGTTCCTTCAGGATACTGGAGCCCATGTGCACCATTGGTTTGGGGTCCGGTTAAAGCGCCGGACATTCGCTTTTCGTCCTCTCATTTTTGTAAACAACACCCACGCCACGAGAAGGCAGTGAGTAGGACTTCCCTGGCAGAGGCTATATACGCATGGCCATGTGAGAGCATTTCGAGAGGGAGAGCGGACTCTCCCCACTCTCGGCCGTACCAGGGCATTTGGGGGCTTTCAAGGTGCTACATTAATAATCAAGAATTACTGATCTGTTTTCAGATGTCAATCGCAAACAATCTTACGAAAATACTGGTAATATATACAAAAATCTGTTTAATATTTTTAATTGCAGACACCTAATTCTGCAATTGTCGTATAAATAAATTTTGTTAACAGAAGTCTTGATAGAGTTACGAGTATCCTCATAATGGTATATATACAATAATTTAATTCTAGACGAAATCTTATCTTGCCTGCCATACTCTAGTCAATATTTAGAATAATCTACACACACAGACATCTTGAATATTTTCAACAGTATACCTTCATAGATGAAAGTGGTTACAATTTTTATCGATCTTAGATTAGTAACTATTTATCGGATAATGTGAAATATCTAAAATAATAGTGTATGATGATCACCAACTGACTTAATTAGGATCTGATTAGCCTGTACCATGTTCAGCATGAAGGCCAAATAGCTTATTATTCGGCAACACATCTATACCTCTAACACTCACTTCTGGCAATGCTGACGACAACAAAAATAAACGATGGTAGAATAAAAAGAGGTTTAAAAAGAATCAAAATTACATGATACTACTGATCTTTTTAAATAAAGGTGCTGTATGCTATTACACTGGAAGATATTACGTGAGAATTTAATCAATCAGTCATAAATAACATAGAAAACTTGACATAAATGTGAATTGACACAATTCACCGTACTTTAACATTAGCACAATGAGACGGAATCGACAAAATGAAAAGTAAGATAATCTAAACTATATTAGTAAAGTAAACAGATGGAAAATATAGTTCTTAGAGAACGAATGAAATCGCAGAGGGTTTAGTGTGAATTGGTGTCAAAATTAAAGATCCAGAGGAAGTTAAACAACGAATGTCTGTATTACTGTATGACACTTGAGGTCTCCAACTTAAATATATGCATCTCCTCGGATAGGTCGGTCTAACAGTCGGTTTTAAGAACTGCCGCGGTATTTCGCTTGAATCATCATTAACTTCCTTCCAATCTAATCCTGTTATAGCCAACATAAGATGTAGGAGTAAGCAATAGTTAGTTCAGTTGATGAAGGCTTATAGCGTCACTAATCGTCTTACCACCTTTATCTTGTACTATATTTTTAACTTCAGCATTATTCACTCGGTAAACCTACTAAATAACAGTAAGAATTTGAATATGCCTATGATCGAATTATTAGCAACTTAAGCATATATTCTGCCGTAAGGAGATATGTTTCACATTAAAGTTGATACTGATGCGCAGTATACTTGGCTTTTTTAATAAACATCTGAACTTTTCTCCAGCTCAAGTTGGTAAGGCCAAACAAACTGAAACGGTATATATATATATATATATATATATATATATATATATATATATATATATATATATATATATATATAAAACTGATAGTGACTACTGGTACAATTATTAACACATACTTTATAAGATTTAACAAATTGTCAGCAAGGTATAGATGAAACTCAGTATTTCTCATCTTAATGAACTTTACAACCAGGATTCACTAGTTTAAACAATGGGTAGTTTATCAAATAGATTGCAGCTATTTGATTAGCATCCGTTTTTTTAATCACCGCTTTAATGCTTATTATTACAATAGATGTGTTGACCAGATGAAACTATTAACAAGCTACCATGCATTATCTTAACCGTCAAGTCTTACTGGATTCCCTGTAAACCGTTAACACTAAAGGCAACAATTGTATCAAGGTTGGACAGATCAAACAGACTATAAATGTTTTTAAAATTGAAAAATATAATGTGTGAATGCAGCAACAATACATTACAGCAAGCTTTGAATGATATTTCAACGATTACAAATGGTACTGAAAGAATATTTTAATTAAAATCTTACTATGATAATTGCTAGGATAATTAATTTGACCTATTATTCAATAAACTAATTACACATAGACTAAGCATACCTTTAATATATCAAGTGCTTCATCGATGCATTTCATTTCAGGTGGGTCAATGAAAGGGAATTTTTTGATATCTGGTAAACCCATGACTATCATCTGTAAAACAAGTGTTTCTAAAGGAACACGACGAATTTCCGGGGTACTAAATGCCTAGAAATAAAAAAAATAGAGGATATAAGTGATACAAAATGTTAATAATTTCTCCAGTCTCTAAATACATGAAATATTATTGAAAACTTTCAGTAATGAAATTCAACTGCATTTAGGGTGAATGATTATTAACTCAAAATCAATTTTAGGTAACTGCCTCATATTTCTAAGTGTAAGCATAGAGAGGTTACAATGCCAACTACCTATTTGAGTTACAGACTATCACCAATCTACGGATCCCAAGCAAATAAAAAAGAGAAAATACAATACAATACGACTTCGAAGTTATTAATTGAATATAAGTGACATTAACGTCCTGGAAACTTATAAAAGAGATATGAAAACGGTAATGTTTATAAGTTTAATCAATTAAATTAAAGAACATGAATGGGTCTGCGTTTGAAATTTACCAAATGTCCCAATTCCATAAACATATTTCAGTACTTCCTTAGCTTTTGTATAGACTTACACATACCCTGACACTTAATTGTTGAATACGAAAAAAAACATTCCATAAATAAATAGTCAAAAATCTATGTCAAGCGTTGCAAAATAATTTATGATTTCTCACCAGTATTCTGTTTAAAAGCGACATGAAATAATTAGGCAAGAATTAAGATTGACATCCATGTCTTTGGTGCATGGGCGACTGAAGAAATTTGTATCCAGCAATTGCCTGTGTCAAATGACACTTAATCATGTTTACTTCCTCGTTAATATCTTATGCATAAATGTATTATTTATTCCGAGGAAAAGCCTATTCCGCCAACAAAATTAATTTACATTATCTATGGACTACTTACTTACTTACGCCTGTTACTCCCAATGGAGCATAGGCCTCCGACAAGCATTCTCCAACCCACTCTGTCCTGGGCCTTCTTTTCTAGTTCCATCCAATTCTTGTTCATTTTTCTCATGTCTATCTCCATTTCCCAGCGTAATGTGTACTTTGTTCTTCCTCTTTTCCTTTGACCCTGAGGATTCCATGTGAGGGCTCGACTTGTGACAGTTGGGTGCTTTCTTCAATGTGTGTCCTATCCACTTCCAGCACTTCTTCCTCCGTTGTGATCTGGTTTGTTCTCTCCTACAGCAGGCTGTTGCTAATTGTGTCCGGCCAACGGATCCGAAGTATTTTGCGTAGACAACTGTCAAAACACTTGTATCGTCTGGATGATGGCTTTTGTAGATCTCCAGGTTTCCGCCCCATACAGTAGAACTGTTTTGACATTTGTATTGAAAATCCTGACCTTGGTGTTGGTTGACAATTGTTTTGAGTCCCAGATGTTCTTCAGTTGTAAATATGTTGCTCTTACTTTGCCGATCCGTGCCTTCACATCTGCATTAGATCCACCGTGTTCATCAATCATGCTGCCCAAATATGTAAAGGTTTTTACATCTTCCAAAGCTTCTCCGTCAATTGTGATTGGATTGGTGCATGTTTTATTGAATCAGAGAATCTTGTTTTTCCCTTTATGTATATTGAGACCTACTGCTGCTGCTACACTGGTCGTCTTCTCCTGCATTTGGTGTTGTGTTTGCGACAGAAGAGCCAGATCATCTGAGAAGTCTAATTCGTCCAACTGCATCCTAGATATTTACTGTATCCCATGCTTACCTTCAGATGTTGACGTCTTCATGATCCAGTCTATCACCAGGAGAAAGAGAAAGGGTGAGAGTAAGCAACCTTGCCTGAAACCGGTCTTTATTTCGAACAACTTTGTCAACTGTCCTCTATGCACGATTTTGCAGTTTAGTCCATCATAGGAATTCTGTACAATATTGAATATCTTCTGAGGCACGCCGTAGTGTCGAAGAAGCTTCCATAGTGTTTTTCTGCCCACGCTGCCACATGCTTTTTCATAGTCAATGAAGTTGATGTAGAGCGATGAATTCCATTCAGTTGATTGTTCCACAATGATCCGTAGAGTTGTGATTTGGTCTGTACACGATCTATCCTTACGAAATCCTGCCTGTTGGTCTCAAAGTTCGGCCTCTACGGAGTCCTTCATCTTGTTTAACAATACCCTGTTGAAGACTTTTCCTGGTGTTGAGAGAAGATTTATGCCCCCTGTAGTTATCATAGTTGCTGACTACTACTTTGTTGGATATTTTAACAACGCAAAACGTATTAGTTTCAATGTGCTGAATTTAGTTATGCATGATAACATATATATAATATTAACAATAAAATGATAAGCAATTCGTTCCACAAACTGTATAGTTAGATCTCAGGTCCATATACTCAGCTTTGAGTCACGCCTTTTTTATGTGTGAGGGTTGATGTTACCAACTGCCTACCCAGACCAAAGTAGACGTTATACAAGTAAAACTAGAAACCCACTGGTTCAAAGTCACGTTCTTCAACAACTAAGTCATTGTTTCATAGACTGTATGAGAATGTACTCATATTATTATTTCGTGACATTACAAAATGGAATAAATCAAAGAAAATATCCGTTTAGTTCATTTACCTCAAAATTATCATAATCCTCTTGAGTATAGAAACGATAACAAACACCAGGACCTGTACGACCAGCACGACCTTTACGTTGATTAGCACTTGCTTTAGATATTGAAAATTCTTTTAAGCAACGCATTCGTGCTTTGGAATCCCAACTTAATTCTTTGACTTTGCCGGAATCAGCTACAAATCTTTAAGGACGGAATTCGCGTTTGTTTTTTAAAAAAAATAATCACACATATTAAGAGACAATTCAAATCTATGACAATGTTGAGAATAGCACTGAAAAAATTGAGGACAATATATAATCCAAAAATGTATAGTTTAAGTGAATGTTTCCGGTGGATTATGTTTTCTATGCTAAAATTACTCGATAATGACTTCTTGTGCATTTATGAAAGCTTCTCCATGAATAAACCTCTTGGAATTCAATTCGCAATTTATTCCCAGATCCTGGAAGATATAATATTAATGAAAGTGCAAACTCTTCCTATCAATAATTCAATGATTTGAAACCCCACAACTTGAGGAAGTGCACAAATGGACCAATTTCCAAAGCTTCAGTGTGGCTTCATTAGAAGTGAAATTTTAGATCGAGAGCTATGATGGGTAAAGCACAAACATAATAGGCACTCCTGATCAATGAAGAACACATGAATTAATAGCATTAGTAAATCTAACTGAATGACCATTTCATTTGTTCAAGGCTAAGTTCATAATTGGGGACTTCAGAGCGAAACATTTTAACTACGTGGACCTCTATCAACTCGATTCAGTCAATAATAAGTGACAATTGAAATGAATAATTTCTAATTAATTTAAGAGGCAGCTATCTCGGAAATAAATCATTCAGAGATAAACCGATAATACTTTCGAACACAGTACAGAGAAAGTGGTTATCCAATTAAAATCGTTTATATACGATATACGAAATGTGATTAATTCAAGACTGATCTGCTTATTTATGTTTCTAGAAAGTAGACTGTCGAATTATAGTTGCACAAATGATACAAGATACAACAGTTTATAATAATTACCAATTTTTAATATATGAAGCACACCTTATTCCATCTATAGTTAGAGAGGTTTCGGCGATATTTGTTGATAAAATACATTTACGTACACAGTCTGGAGCAACATGAAAAACTTTTTCTTGATCTGATGCAGATAATGCACTGTGCAATGGTAAAATAATCCATCGTTTTGTTTCGTCAGCATATGCCTTAGCTGGTTCCATTATTGCCTTTTATAACAAAAAAGAAAAACAGAAGCAAAATTAAGTTGGAACCGTGTTATATTAAAAGAAAATGGCATAGATAAAATATGATCACAGCTTGAGCATTAGAAAAAAACAGAATGAGAAACATCGATAAGAAAAAGTAAGACGTCTTATGGGTCACATTATCGTTTCTTGAGTATTTTTTTTAAACTGCCAATAAAGTAATAAATAAATAATTTTTGGCTCAGCTGCACTAAAGTAAGGACGGTATATAAAACAAGCAAAAGATACTACGATGAACTTTGACCTTTAAATGAAAAGAACTTCAAAGTCATTAAAATGAGCAAAAATATTGATTGCTAAGGCACAGTTTATTTAATTATGTCGACATTTAATATAATGTCAATAAAATCACTTTCCTAAATCAACAACCTTACGCATAAAGTAACACTTTAGTTTTGCAGGTATTTAGCCTGGTTATCATTCGCAAAATCATTATAGCATGAATTTTCAGAAATTTCAGAGCTGTTATTACCTTACAATCCAATAACTTTTCATTTCGTTTTAAACTATTTATGAGTAGTTCGTGTTCTCGTATAGATCAAACTTTATATGGCTTCCGAGTCAAACTAAAATAATCTTATAATAAGCATTGAGTTGGTGATAAAAGGCCACTAGGACACTGATATGGTGTTACTGACAGAATAAAAATATGGATGACAACATGAATTCTCTATCTCCTTAATATTTGCTTGATATAACTTTTGATCAAATGGATAGCAGCTTTTAATGTTTGTCACCTGTAATTACGCGAAAAATGAAATGAGAAGGTAAACAACATAACAACTCACTTGAATATCAGCCATTCCAGATAAAAAGATCAAGAGATCGCCTCGTTCAGTAGCGGGATATGTTACGTCGATCCGTCTTAGTAAACGAATATACGGCGCAGGATCGATTCTGTCAGTTGTGTTGGCGATTTCAACTGGACTAAGTGGAATGTAGTGCAAATCGATGGGGTAAAGACGTCCAGGCACCTATTAATAATTCATGCTTAGTCATACACAAAATTTTGCGAGCAAAATACTTTGGTTAACAGACTAAAGAAATCAACATTGAATAATGAGCAAGCGAAATGATTCCAAATGGTCGTGTTAAGATATATAAAGTAAGGATAATGAGACAAGCCAGTGTAAAGTAAACAAAGAGTGGCCATATGCAAACGGAAAATGTTTACTGGATAAAACCTAAGATAAATGATTATAACTTGCAAATAGATAAGTTAATGAGAGCAGGTTCATGAGATTTTTTTGAGACAGTGACTTAGTTTGCAAGAAAGAGTACTCATAAAGTTTTTTGAAGATGCGAAAACTCGTGAACTAAACGAATTCTTCACAGACATTTTCCGAAGATTTCTATGCTGAATGTTAACTAGATGTGTAGCGTCTCAGTTTATGCATCACAATAAATGAACTTCACAAAAACGCGATACCTGGCTTAGCAAAACGCTTCTCTTAAAAATTCTGTGGAAACAATTACTTTAAAAAAACGTAGAGATAAGATCACCAGCAACCTTACACTTACAAGTTTAAAAACTCTAATTCTTCAAGAAGTAAGCTAACTTCTAATTTTTTCTTAAAGTCAGGCAAATATATTGTCGGGAACTTTTTCAGGAATCCGTAACCCACTCAACACGTCGTGAACAGAATTTTAAACAATAGTCATTTCAGTAGTTTTTTTCTCTCAACTGGATAGTTTAGTGACTAAGATAGAAGTCACAAGCAAGCTTAACATGAAAGGGAATTACTTAGATTCACATTAGACAATTCAACTTCATGTTCTAACAACTTTGAATTAAAATGACAAAAGTAAATTCCATTCAAGCTCCTGAGAACATGAAGTCAAAAGTGTTACAAACAAGTAAATATAAATTTCGCTTTTAAACTTCCATATGAATATTACCCTAAGCATAGATTCTAATATGGAAAGGAAACATCAATTACCAAACAATCCGGATAAGACATCATTCAACTTTTGAAATCATGGTGCAACATTAGTCACAATGATACAGTTGCATTTATTCTTTTTCTTTTTCTTCTTTTAAATTATGAGTTCAGTGTCACTCCTTAAGTTTCACTCTCATACCTATAGTATTTATTCGTACTGTATTTCTCATATATAGATCTTAATTTCTTTCTTTTTACGTCTAATACAGAAAATTTCCTACGATGCGCACACCATGCTGATATGAAGTATGACGACACGTATCGATACACATTCTTCCCAGGTCCTATGATAACAATGAATGTACATCAAAACCATCAGTCTGTTCTACATAGATTTTCACTATTATTTCTTTCTAAACCATTTTAAACCATAAGTTAATACAAAAGTAAAAAAATTTACCTGTATAATTGGGTAATCATTGAAAAATTGAGCAAATGTGTTCACATTTATTGTAGCTGACATTAGAACTACACGAAGTTTCGGACGGACAACAATAAGACATTTAACAAGTCCTAATAAACAATCAGTTTGCCAGTGACGTTCATGTACCTGGGGAAGAAATAATATTTTAGTATTATCACTCCTGTCATATATATATATATATATATATATATATATATATTACTTACACAAAGGCGAGGAATGTTAGTAGTAAGAAAAAAGGTAGGTAGGACCTTTACTTAGTTTTCAATCATTCTCACAATCAGATGATTGACAAAACAGGAAACGAGAAAGTAAATCTCTATTTACTAGATTTAAAGTCATACAATAATTAAGAAGAGTAGGAAACGAAATGGATTAAGCGCAATGATGGCTAAAAACACCAAAAGAAGGAAATAAGAGAAGATACAGTCAGCTGTGAACATCATCATTTAGGAGATAAAGTTGTTCGTCGAATAAAATATAAATTTAATGCCGGACTATAGTAGAAAAATACAGATACTAAGCTAATTTCATCTTGTTTCAAATTGACCAAAAGTTGGAATTTTCTCCATTACAAATAAAACCTTTTGAGTACGTGGTTGTGGAGATTGTTGAATTTTATTCAAACCATGGATCGATCAACGTTAGACGATCATCGAAGACCTGGAAGCACTGGATGGTTATTTCGCCCTAACCTGAAACTTCTCAGAAGTGCGCATCCACGACCTTGCACACAGGACTTGAAGCCAGGACCTATGATCTCGCGCGAATGCTTAAGCACAAGACCATTGAGCTGGTATCCAACAGTGTTAATGTCTACCTTCAGCCCCCTAGTGCTTCCAGGTTTTCGATGATCTATGGTTTATGATTTTAATGAAAACAAAATCTTATCAATTCGAACGACTTATATGTAAATAATTAGATGAATCGTGGAAGGACACAATATGAAGTCCTTTGTCTTATTTATGAACCCTTCCAGACAGACATGTGGACTAGGAATAAGATTATGCGTTACCGGATTGATATTTTTTTTAAAAAACAAGGACTATTTGTGATAACAAATATTTTCAATAACTTTATCGTCAGGCTCTGAAGAAGTGGTTTATATGAAGTCACGAAACGTCAGAAATACAATTTTTCTACTCATTGGGATATACCAAAAAATAAATTAACTGTTAATTTTCTACCTAAAGCTAAATTTATTTGAAACTATCAAGTCCAACCTTAGCACTGACACCTATAAACTTAGGCTCCACAGTTTTCAATCCATAATTATTGTATTGTAATGGCCAAAATTAGAAATACAGAAATAAGTTGTGAGTGAATTAGATGTTGTACACCAAAATAGTGTATATTTACAATGATTACAGCTTAAATATGTCTAAAATGTGTCACTTGTAAATTTGAAAGGTCTTTTAAGATAGGGATAGGAAAATTGATACTAAATGGTGTTAATATATAATAATCGATTAGAAATAATTCACAAGCAAGTGGACTGGAGGTTTTACCTAGACAGTAGACATAAAATAGGGAAGTCACCAAAACTAAAACAATTGTCAGTTTCCTTGTCAACATCATGGACTAATCCTAGTTAAATAACCACTAGACGGCTATTTCGTCCTAGTATGGGACTTATGCTTGTCTGTTTTGAGAGCTAACTGCTGTTACTGAGTTTATCAGCACGAATGTGAGTTCCTTAACAAAAGCCACTTACTACTTACTATAGAACCATTTACTGTCTATAAGCACTTGTAGATAAATCTCACGGGAACCCAAGATAATCCTCTGCATTCGACTGACCTTGGGTGCGTTATTCAAGTGGAAATGATATATAACCACTTAAAAAGACGAAGTGTATCGCGATGTCCAGTTATTTGAATTAGTGGTCACATTTAAAATTAACGAAAGTAGTCGTCACTAAAACTAGACACATAAAAATCAGCTACTATTAAGTTTAAATTAGTCCCACAATTAAACGTGGAGAACTGTGAAAAAATGATGTCCCACTAAACCAGACAAATTTTGTACAAAGGCGAATAATTTCACTTTTTTATTTCTAATGTTGAAGTTGACTACTAATTAAACAAAAAAGTAGTCAGAGTATCAATTGGGATTTCGTCTACAACCATTTGTTAGACTCAGATAGACTCTCAGGATTATTCAAACGTTAGAAATATACATCGAAAATAAACGGATCTCTCTTAACTATTTCATCTCAGTATACGTGAATTGTCCGCTGAAAGCTGCCAAATAAAACAGTTCAATAAAGGTTCTAATCCAAACGGAAAACTTAATATGAGTTGGACGATAACAATGTCGAGATAGTTTGATCAAAAATATTTTGAAACAATTCACAAACTGGAATTTCGGTAAAAAAACGCTAGACCAGAAGAAAAATATAGCAATATAAAGTGAAAGCTAACTCAATAAGATATGATTTTCCTGTTGCTTTCTTGTCATGTCTGGAGCAAAACAGTTACCTTATCTTCAAATTGATAATAAAGATAATATCAACCTCACTCAAGGAAAACAATTTAATGAATCGGCACTGTTACCGTATGATTGTACCCTTGATAATATTTAATGCGAAATGAAAGACGATGCCTAGGGTATTTTCAGAGAATATAACAAATTAGTGTATGAAGTACGCCGAACAGTCCTAGTATTCATAACTTGCTTCGGATTTTAATGAAGAAACTCTAGGTATATTTCATCTTCATATGATGGGCAAGTGTTAAGCCTAATAGTCAGCTCTTAATTACATTGGCAGGTGAATGATTTCGATAAAACCCGTATTCTATGATCGCTTACGTTTCAAATTATATTTCATGATCATTTTTTGCACTGATACATTGTGTGTACCATAGGAAATATTTAATTTCCTTGATCAGCTGAACCATATTCTGGCACCAATTCGCTTAAGGATCCACGTAGATGATTGCATCCTTTATCAACTAACAATGTATCTATTATTTTACCAACTAAAACCTGCTCATAACAAATTCTGAAACCTTCTATATAACATATGTTGATGTTCACGAAATAATGATGAGACTGAACAAGCTGAACTAATTTGTGGAAATTTTTCAACCAGAATTCAAGAAATCTTTGTTTCGAGAATTACATTTCCTCGACAATTAACTATGTTAACAACTGGTTTGATTGTTTGAATTTGGGAATTTATTCAAAAACTTTGTTACTTAGTCTGAATTTCTGGTTAAGCTTCTGTTAAATAAATGCTTGAAACCGAGTCTATTTTAGATAAATCCATTAATTTTCAATATATTCAAGCCAGAACATTTCAAAAGTCTACCGCGATTTTCAGAATTTCATCAGTTGTCAACCATTATAAATTATCGAAAGAATAGTTTCTACGAGATAGATCATACGATTAGTAGTTTAAAAGGAAGAATTTTTTGGTGCTTTTCCTGATATGTACTCTGGCTACACTGACCAGTGAAATATTAATTTTTAATAAGTTCTAGCGCTCCGGAAATGACATCTTGTGAAACTGTGACTGGATAGTCGAAGGACTTAATTTTTAATTCCTTAGTCTGAAACTTAGCCCTTATCGCCTACTTCAGTTTGTACAACTAAAACATATATTTTAGCGTTAAAAAATAAATATAAAACCCTAATAAACTAGTCTGTACTCGCCTATTGAGTTGGATTCGTCAAATTCCATTCACCTGATTTCAGCTTCTGATACATGCTTGATTCCTGAGGATACTTAGCTTGTTTGTTTGAGAAGGTTGATGATGAAAGGAAGATATTTGTTTGATATTCAATAGAAAGTATGGAAGCTGTTATAGATCAAATAATACTATTTTTTAGAGGTGAATACATGGTAAAGAAAATTATGTCTTGAAAGTACCACATCAACCAAAGAGTGGATTTCAAAAGGTTAAATGATATGATACCACAGTGTTTGGGAACGATCAACATAAATTATTAAGTAAATAAAATTCCCGTCTTATTAGTCCTCTATAAGATAGTTAAAATATTCATCCATAAAACACACACATTTTATTTAGATAACTTATGTGTGAAATTCCTGCCATTTGTTCATTCCACCGAATGTTAAAATTCAAAGGGATTAAATAATTTAGTACATAACTCACAGTTAAATAATATACGGAGATTTCACCAAATTATTTTTCCAAGTTGGTAACTACTTGTGAAGAAAATCCATGGTACTACTCAAATAAATTTCATGCTTGAATTTCTTTAACTCAACACAAATTCGCTTAACTTATCTTTAGTTTTATAAGTTTATTCAAAGCATTACATGGAACAAATTTCATGACCTTACTTACTTCATCAAGGACGATGACATCATAGTCGCTCAGAAATGGATCCATCTGCATTTGACGTAACAATAAACCTTCTGTGAGAAAAAGAATTCGTGTAGCCTTAGTGCGACTTCGTTCAAAACGGACCTAATAAAATATTTTTCAGAAAAATATAAGCGTATCTTGTTAGTAGAATAAATTCATACATTTATACAAGAAGATGAAAACGAATTCAATTCCGCTCTGAAAATTGATGACAATTAAAGTTATCAATCACTGTCCTTTTTATTCATAGGTTTTCATAATATCAGATCAAAAAGATCTGATTCTCGATACATACATCAAGATATTATCTTCAGGAAAGTTACGATATTATTTTGGTAGTGACTAATAGGAAAATCTTCAAAGTACGTTACATTTAATATGAAACCATACACTGGGTGATATACACTTACATTAGCATTTCCAATCAGATATGAACTTAGAAGGCAGTCCACATCAGTTTTCATTGGTATATTAGACTTTATTTGAGGTATACGCTGCAAATCATATTATTTGAAATGAGTAAAAAAAGTTAAAACCCGAAAACCGATCTTTTAAAATTTGTCAGAATCTTTATTTAACCAGGATGTATCAAGAGAACGATGAATTTATATGTTTGTGTTTCCCGTTGCTAGTACTCAAGATTATATTTTGATAAATTTTTGTTTGCGTATATTCATCTTGAACAGATGCCCCGACATTGCCTCTAAGTTACAAGCTTTGTGATATTTGGATTATTGATAGAAGTGGAATTCAGGAAATGAGTCCCTTCCCTCGACATGGGGCACGTCAAGCGAATGCACCTTAATCTCAGTACAGATATTCACAACCATTTGAGAACAGGACATATAACTTTAAACTAGTCCTATAAAAATTAAGTCCTGTTTATTAAAATTTAACGTTTCATGACAACCAGAAAGTATTTTTAAAAATGTCATCCCAACTTACTTGATATCCAACCTTGGAGCCTCTTTCATTCAACATCTCAGTACTTACACGTGCGGCCAAACTAATACACGCAATGCGACGAGGTTGAGTAACAGCAATATTTTGATAGGAGTTAGGTCCAGGTGTATCATTTGAGTTTGATTCACCATAATATAGGTACTGTGGTACTTGTGTTGACTTTCCACAACCAGTATCACCAGCAACTATCACAACTTGATGTTTAGATAGTGTAGATAATAATTCTGTTCTAAAGTTAGCGATTGGTAGAACACTTTGATCTATTCTAAGTTTCACAATTCGAGCGAACTAATAGATAATTAAAACACAAATATACTTATCAAATAAAATGTTTGGCCATGAAAAAAAGAGAATTATAATAAAGATTTCTCCTAGATGTTTGCGAACAACTCTGGGTGAAATTATCAATGCCTTTTCTGAAGAAAAACAAATAAGGAATAAATGAAGACCCAAAACTTAGTAAAATGAAGACGGATCATTTCCAGTTTGAAAAGCTTTCTATTTTAGTCATACAAGTGTGTGAAACTACCCTACTTAGTTGTTCGATATTTTCCCGTACTGAAAAAGCCTTGACTTGCGAAGAAACCAATTAAAGTAGCTGTGGACTAACCTTACAACGAAAGTGAAAAGTAATAAATTGATCTTGCATGTTAGACGAAAACGAGGCTCATTTATTTCAGACTAGTTGAGAGGTTTCCTGAGACGTTTGGAACAAATTACAGATTATTGCTTAAAACGATTCTCTGGTGACTGAATTTAGTAATGCAGGAGAGATGTTCTCATGTCCCTAGGTCATAATAGAAGTTCAGAAATAGATGGGTACCAAGTCCCAGTCCAGCAAGTTGGATCTACCTAAAGATATATTCTACCGGATCAAGAAACTTAACTGAATATCGATAAGACCACAAACAGTAAGCATCACAGTTCCAGTAACTAGAAATAACTTTAAGTTTGAGGGGAAAGTTTTGATGTTGACTTCGCTGTGTAATATAAATAATTTCCCAAGACTAACCAGGATCTTCCATAATACTGTACCTTAATTATCAAGACCTAAGTAGTCGTGTATCTACAATCATCATCAATAATTGACTAGATCTTCTTCCAACAATCCCACAATAAGTGAAGATAGAAAACTGTTAAACATCTGTCCCTTTTAAATAGCGCTTAACTAACGATTGCTCAAGACCACCAATCCCGTCATTATCTTCACAATTAATCTTCCTACCCCCTCGGTAAAGAATCGCTTAAAACAGCCCCCACTAATGCAGTGGGTGCTAACTATATGATCTGACGAACTAGCAACTGTAGTCTGTTGAAAGTGCGATTTAAACTGTATTCCGAATACTTCAATATCTATACTATATATCACATTGGAAAACATGATGTGAGAACAAAAGGAACGGAGAATACAGTGGTAATGAGCGGTATTAAAAAATCTCTTAAACCTGTTAAGAGTACAACGATTACAGCTGTTCTTACTGCCAAATATTTTGGTACTTCAACAGGAAAACTGTGAATCAAAGAATGGGGATAGGAACACGGAGGCGCTAAATGAAGATTTATTTGAAAGCAAAAATAAATCAAACTGGTGTCTGAATACACTAATTTTGAAATGATTTACACTGATTAGTATTCAGACTTGTATATATTAAATTGAGTAGTATTTGACATTAGTTGACCAATAATTTGTTGAATAAACACAGATACGAAATATCATAAATATAACCATTTATCACCAACAGATATAACCAATATGATTACTCCTCAAATGTAATTAAATGTCACAGACGATTGAAAAAGGAAATTAACATGATCGATTACTGATGCTCTTGTCGAATCTTTGCTCGCAGTATCGAAAACAACTGGCTGTTAGAAAAGTGCAGCCGAGAAAGACGGCTTGTTGGGTCGTTTTTACAGTAGTTATGTGTAGTAATCAAAACTAGACGACTCAGACAAACTTGCAGCTGCATCTTGGTATGCTGAGATTTAAATTAAGAACCAGTTAGTGGTACTGGCAATCAGCCACAGAAAGATACGATTAAAAACCAAATATACGTGCATATACTTAGATACTTGACTGCATCAACTATATAGCTTGCTTAACTAGACATTGATAACGCTGCTTTACTTCTAATATACTTAAGATAGCTTTAACAAACATAAACCAGGAAAAAGCCACAATTCTTGGCTAAAATGATAGTTGAAGTTACAGATGTTAGAAGAAATTCCCTTTGGTCGTTCTCAATCGAAATATTTGAGTCGGATGGCTTTAATTAATAATGTTGACTCCACATTATGATTTCGTCATGAATGTCCTTTTAGACGAAACGAAGAGGCTTGGTGGTCGAAGCACTAGCCTTCTAACCAGTAACTCACATGGTCATTTGTTTCACCTCCATCTGTCAGTCAGTCAGTCAGCGGCAACGTAGGACAAGGCACATATATGCATCGGTCCAAGTTGCCATACCGCATTAGCACAACAGGATGAACACCGAATTCATAGAAGTAGTTAATTCAATGATGGTAATATATAAAAGGATATAGTACAGGAAGAAAGAATTGGTTGGTAGAAAGAAAGATATGAAGCGATTTTAATCTCTTAGTTTAAAGGAAGACAAAGAGTGTATACAACTATGCCATTGTGACCGATTCTGAGTCATATCACCCTGAGTCTCCCACCATTGGTTATGAAGTCACGCGGACCCCAACCAAGTAGTCTGCATCTAGACGTTAGTGGCTTCAATGACTGATACCACGTTCTGGTTTGGCCGTCCCTAACTATGTAAACGTTGTATGAGCTAAACTAAAAATTTAAAAGTAGCACACAAATTGGTTTGGTTGATCTTTCGTTTAGATTTACTAAAACTGACTGAAAGCATCTAAAATACAGTTAAGTGAAAATACAGACAAAATTCTTTCTTCTGAACATCCTCAATGCCATTGTAAGAATACCTAAAACAAAAAGTCGCGTTTTCCGAAGTCAGTGTTGTCTTGATGTTTGGTTGGGTTTGTTAATAAATGAAACGAGGTCGTGGTTTAATGACTTTACTATATAACTCAGTAAATTTAATCAGTCTTGATGACATCAGTATAGCCTAAGCATACTAAATAGATAACCTACTTCAAATTTTACCGTAGATGAGATTATTATCTATCACTACTTATCAATGACGGTAAGAAACATTAGATTACAAATGGACAATTATTCTTATCTTTATATTATAAAACGTTTGGCACAAAATGGGACTAAAACAGTATCAAACAAAGTGAAATAATATGGTGAATAAAACAGGAAAATGTCACAAAACCAATAAATAAATAAGAATACTATATATTCAAAAATATAATTTAATTAGATGGGAAAAAACTAAGGCTACTTTGCAGATAATACGCGCATCTTACTTTAATGAAGAACCAAATGGAAAACTGAGGCGTGATCATCATAAGCACAGATGGATAGTGACTAGCCATGAAATTCAGGACGCACATTTCGTCTTATTTGAGACTCGTCAACTGCATGTACCTGTGTCCCAAAGTTGATGTTCACTCAGGGAAGATTCAAACAACCAATTCAAAAATAAACTAAAAAGTGATCGCCACGGATTTATATTTTTGGTTGTGTTTGGTAACACTTCATGCTACTGAAATGCGTAGTTTTTAAAATTCTACCCACATAATAATGATGGACCAGCAGATATCAGTTTATCATTCGTTTCTCTGTGCCATATTATAAACTGAATACCGATTTTATTTCTCCATCCTCAGTAAGCAAATGCCATATGATATGAAAACCACTGGGATGAAATCCATTATGCTAGAGTCGTTAAGACATCCAATTCAATATCTTAATGGCTAAAGTATTATTAATATAAGAGTGGACGGCCCTTTGAGAACGTTGGTAGAACAGTCAATCACCAAGTATGCTTAAGTTAACAACACCAAGTTTACAGATACTAAGCATAACTATTAGCATAATTTTATGTCCAACCCATGTCCAAACTAGGATTGCAACATCTTTGAAGGTGGTCTAGAATGGAATAAATCTTTTTACTCTTTATACTATATGTAGACCGACTCCATCTAATTGCATGTCATCACAAAAACTCCCCAGAAAGATGTGCAACTACTTCAAATGGTTTACATAGATTCCTATTAGGTTCGCAAAGTCAATTTAGGTATAAATGCTAAGCGTATTTCATACACATAAAAACGATCGTCAACCGACTAAACACAATTTCGGTAGCCTATATGTCAATTTACAGCATAAAAACAAAATTCATATATTTTAGTTGGTTTAGAAGCGGCATAGGATCTGGTCAGAACATGTTGTATACTTTACCTAAGGCCTATCTTTGCTCTAAATACCGATTCCGATGGCACCACTTGAAACGCTTAGTTTGTAAACCTCTCGAAAATTCGGATCATAGTGTCTCATCCAGACACCATATGTGTTTACACAGTACATGAAAATACCACCTTCACTTGGAGATTTGCTTTGATGAAAAGACAATACCGGAACGTTCTTATGAAGATAAGACCACGAAAGTAGTATGAAGTCATCAAACTGCTTTGAAAAATACTTTTCATATGACAACTTAAAAACAAATATACCTTGCGTTTCAGAAGAAAATCGAGGTACATGTCATATATGAAATGAAAGCAATCAAGCTCTGAACGAGTAAGAGATCTGTGGGAACCTCCTTTTAGTGAGGACTAAATTTAAATTTTATTACTTGAAACATCGCTATGTCTAACATAGTCCTCTAAACGATAATTGCTCGTCCGAATGTTTAACTTCGACTTCTTACTCAAGAGACACCCATCAAGACCTATGAAAAATATTATTTGAAGTTCTACAAACCTTCAGAAAAACTTTTTCTCACAATTTTCTGCAATCTCAGCAAAAATTTCCAAAATTCATCGTAAGCACTCGTATCACTGTCAGAATTGTAATGCTGAATATTTAAGATAACCCACTGAGGAATAATAGCTGATCTTGAATTAGGAAAAAATATATCTGTTAGACGCTTTTTATGTGCTAGGAAATCTGCAAGGGCATCTTCGTCCTTCATTTAACAGCGAGCAACGCACAACTAGAAAAACCGGCAAGGATGTTTGACCAATATTCAACAAGTACTCGTTTGTTGGTGAAAATAGTAAGTTGATTGAATTAAGTTAACTCCTGTAGTGAGTGTTTGAGAAAACGTTTGATTGATTATATAGATTAAGGGGTAACACCTAAAAACTGGAGATACAACATAGTAGAACGGACTGCAGACACAATTTCTACTCCTTAAGAGTTGTCAAATGCTGGAACTCGCTGCCAGCTGAGCTAGTCCAAGCAACTTCCCAGGAGTCCTTTAAGAGGCGACTTGATCTATTCTTAAGGACTAAGGATAGTATCCTACTATGATTTACCAATTCATTTTCTTTCTCTTTTATCGTTAATATACCTAGGTTCTTGCCTGGAGGTATTGGTGATCCACTGCTACTAGACACGGAAGCCTGTTAAGCGAAAGCTTATTCTATTCCGTCCGCAACCATTTGAACCATTTAAGAAGAGATACGATCTTAATTTTCCGAGCATGGCGTTACAGTCATGGAGGACTTTACTGGAACAGCTAAAACACAATCTACATTTATTCGATTGTGATCTATGGAAAATTGACTGATAATCTCAGAGATTACTGAGAAAATATCTTAGCAGAAGACGATTTATCTTGGAGCGACTAATGATTTGAGATACCACTGTAAATTCACCCCTTAATCTACATAAAGGAAGATTTCTCTAGTGTTAAGTAACTCCACAGTTACTCAACACTGATATTAACAGTTCTGAAGGCATGGATCCCCTCTAACCTTAGGAAAAATATAAATGACATGTATATTGGATAGATTTTATGTGTCGGAAACTTTTAATTCAATGCCAATGCCAATTGTCGATGCTAGAACACCAACCAACACAAAGAACCTAAGTGTCATCAAAGACTTACTGCATAAATTCTAAGAAAATGCCTCAGATATTGGTAAAAACTCTGCTCCGACTTGTACAGTTTTGACAACGTCTTAGTTAAGTTAAATATGTAAATGTTGAACACAGCCAACACATAAACACAAACCAAAGAGAATGTATAAATGAGAACTTCAAGAGACTCTATATTGTGGGGCCAACGAAATGTCACTGAGCCCTAGCCAAATCATCAGGCAGTCCAGTCGCTGAATATCGAACAGGTGATCGACCCCTGTCATGGTCAAGGATAACCAATACGTATCAGTTTATCGCATGCCATGAGGTGGTAGTCTCTCGGAGTTTGACAACGCTTTAACCAGTAACACTTTTTAATATGAAGCATACCCACCAAAAGACAGAAGCAAGAAGGTTCGAAGATATATTTGATAGGCTATCAATATATCAAGGCTCGTCTGATCTAATCTGACTAGCGATTGCAGTAGTTGTTGAGCACAGCGTTCTCACACGTGATCTGGTGCAGGTGCATGACCGAGTGCCTTCAGTTAGATGAGTCCATTAAAACTGACAGAGTTATTGATTTGGGAGATTTATTTGCCGCTACAGATCATTCCCCTCCTAGTGAGGTAGTGATGATCCTAAGACGTGGCCAGCCAGAAGTTTAAACCAAACGAGATTTTCGTTGGTAAACACTCTTTTGATAACTCGCTGGGTTTATCAGCGTCTGGTCGTCTTTCCTTACTATAAGGGACCATGAAGTACAACATAGTAGAAAAAGAAAAAGTACAATGAAGATTTCCGTTTCTCGCAAACTTCATTTTTTTATCGTCTTTTCCAGCCGTCCTGGAAAGGAAAAAAATTGTGTAAGTGCATGTCGAAATACACTCGTATGCGCGTGAAAACACAAAGCGGACGAAAAAATGGAAAATAAAATCATGCTCACGTAATAGCGTAAAAAAAGGATTTTTGTAAATATGGTTTTTTTTGCTGATTTTTGAAATAAAAATATAGATATATAAGCATATTAAATTAGGGTTTTCTTTTAAAATTATATATAGTGCCAGGGAAAATCTGAACGATATAAAATGTCAACTAGTATCCTACGTGCAATGATCGTTCAAATGTTCTGGAAATCTTACGCCTCCAGAACGCTCTGCTTTAAGTTTATTTCTGATACCGATGAAGTATCAACGTGTGCGTTGGTTGTCAATTGAGGTATAATACGTGCAGGAGTTGTGTCGTGTGGTTGTACTGAAGGGAAGTCGACGTGAATAGGATCTCCTTATCGATTATATAGTACTTAGGTTTGCGTTGAAGAACTTCGAGAGGTCGTCGATGTGAGTCTCGACGAAGGTAAACGTGTGCACTATATCGTAAGTCAGGTTGAACGAAAACATCAGTTGATTGTGGTCGAGTGGAAACAGGTTTAACTGAACTCATTGCGTTTGTAAGCCTGTTCGTGTAGGAGGTTAGATTTGTGTTCATCGAAGAGGATAACGGATCCGCGAATTCTCTCGGAAGTCGAAGGTTCGTACCATAAACGAGTTGAGATGCAGTGCATCCAATGTCAGCTTTCACTGCATTGCGAAGTTCTAGTAAGACGAGTGGAAGTGCGTCAGTCCACTGAGACATGTTTGTGTCTGATAGTGACGTTTTTAGTTGTCGTTGAAAGCGTTCTACTAACCCTTTTGCTTGTGGCTGGTATGCCGTCGTTCGGGAACGAGTGATTCCAACTTTTGTTGTCAGACAACGGAAAAATCCAGATTCGAACAGGCGTCCATGATCTTTAGTGATTGTTGTAACGTAACGAGAACGATGGAAATCCCTCCACAGCCTTTTTTGTTGGACAGTATTTTCATTTGTTTGTTTCTTCTCCCTGTCACATATTTTAACCTTTGTTCAGATCTCGTTTGGGCTTTTATTATGTGATTCTGACTAAACACTTACCTTTTTGTTACCTAATTTTTATTGCATGTTGCCGGACTATTGACATTGATGCCGTGTTTGACTAGGCTCAAGGTCATGGTGTGGTTTAATGTGTGACTGTTGACCTTTTGACTGTCTGATTGAGATTTCTGGAATCCATTTGTTATGTCTAATCACCTTAGATCTCTGGCAGCTTACACAGAAGCGTGCCCACTCCTTCACGTCTTTATTCATACCAGGCCAGCAAAACCGTTCTGCTATAAACTTGATGGTTGCACGAATACCTGGATGAGAAAGTTTGTGCAACGTATTGAAGACGTTGCGTCGATAATGTTTTGGCACGATTGGACGATCCCTATCTGTTGATGTGTCACATAGTAAGGTTTCCTTACCTGTTCCCATCTGTTTGAATTCAAGGCCTTCGACATAGTGTTGAAAAGGCCGCACAGCACAATACATAGCTAGGAGTTTCCTTCCAGAGGTGCTGTACCTCGATTCAGTGTCTAGCAACTGTCTAGAGAAAAATGCCAAAGGTTGCCAGGAGTGGTTAACTTATTGTTGTAAGACTCCTCCGATTGCTGAGTCGGATGCGTCTACTGCGATACTAATGGGTACTTCAGTGTCTTGATGAGCAAGCGTTGTTGCTTGAGCGATCAGTTCCTTAACTGTGGAGAATGCTTTTCGCGAGGTGTCATCCAGATTGATGGATTTCGCATTTCCACGAAGTTGGTCGGTAAGAGGTTTCATAAGTAACACGCATTTCGGTATGAATCGTCCATAGAAACTTACAAGACCGTTAAACGTGAGTAATTGCTTGATGGTGGCCGGTTCTGGGTAATCCAGAATGGCCACCAATTTTGTTCTAAGGGGTCGGATGCCTTGCGTATCGATAGTGTGTCCTAGGAAGTCTAAGGAGTCGGTTTCGATTTGGCGTTTCTGAATGTTCACAGTAACGCCATGTTCTCGTAGTCGGTCGAAAACAAGGTCCAGATGCTGAAAATGCGATTTTCTATCCAGGCTTGCTATTAGGAAGTCATCAACATACGCTTGTACGACGTTGAGACCTTGAAAAACGTAATCTATGAACCTTTGGAAGGTTTGTGCCACGTTTCTTAGGCCTAAAGGCATTCGCAAAAATTTGTAGAGTCCGAAGGAAGTAATAATAGCGGTGTTCGGAATATCGTCAGTAGCCATGTGAATTTGGTTATACGCTTTAACCAAGTCGATTTTCGAAAAGACAGTTGTACCTTTCAAGGTAGCTGTCAAATCGTGAATGTGGGGCAACGGGTAACGATCGGGAATGGTCTTTGCATTCAATCACCGATAGTCGCCAGTTGGACGCCAATCGTTGCTGTGCTTTTCAGGGACCATGTGCAACGGAGGTGCTCATGGGCTGTTTGACCGTCGTAGGATTACTAAGTCTATCATGTGGTCAAATTCGTTGTTCGCCAACCTTAACTTTTCGGGGGCCAGTCGGCGTGCTTTAGAGAATACAGGTGGTCCTGTAGTCGAGATGTGATGTGTAACGTTGCTGGTTACACACGGTAATTTCGGTTGCGGTTGGTAAATGCCAGAATACTTATCGAGTATTGGTTGATAGAATGGGTCTATCGTGTATTTAATTGTGACGAGATAATCTGCAAACAGATAAATTAGTGTTTCCGTCTACTAGCATCCGTTCGCGTTTATCGATGAGTAGATTGTGGTGTTTTAGCAGTTGTGTACCAATGATTGGCACAAAAACACCTGCAGCAACAAAGAACTAGTGAATGTGTTTGCTTAAACCCACGTTGAGATAAACGTGTAACAGCTTAGGTTGGTTGGTTAAGAGTTGATCTCAAGCAACTAAGCATATATCAAAACAGCATAGTTCAGATATTTATTCACTTCTTTATTTTGTTTAGGTGTTATATTTTTAATTATCTTATATTGTATGTTGAGAGGCTTTGTTTGTCTGAGTAAGGAATCCCACGCTTCACTGTGACTGCGCGAAGATCAAAATAAAGACCTATTTTCCTTCGAGTCTGGTTTCCTCTATTAATAACGCCAGGGTTACTTTAAAGCACGAAAAACGTACCTTTTGCCATACGGTTGTCAGATGCAGCCAGCTCGTCTACGGCGTTGTTTTTAAACGAGACCAACATAGCTTGCACCTGTTGAGGAAGTTTGAACAAGAAA